AAAAAGGACTCTAACTATTAGGCTACTATCAACTTTGTCTCTAAATAAATTTTTATATTAAATTTTTTCCAAACAACTTTGATTTATCAAATTAGGATCTTCTATATATGATGAATAAAAAACTTTAGGAGGAACTAAAAGGCGCTCGAGAACCACGGTTTGTGTGACCACATCAACATCAATATTTGAAATATCCTCAATAAAAATAATGATCATGGTATAGAGATGAAGTTTTATGTCAATTTTCATACTAAGATTTCCATCATTACAAGGAAAAGGAGTTAAAGAAGTGGCACTCATAGGAAGAGAAAGGGTTAAGATGAAGAGGATACGTCTATCAATCATTATAATAGCTGGGTGATCTAGATCCTCATCATTATATTCATAATCTATAGCCTCCTTTTTGTAGTCCTCACTTTCACTCTCCTCAATATCCTTCCTTCTAGTTCATTGCATTTTACCATTCCCTACCTCTTTAGTTAAATCTATGTTTTTGTCATCTTCATTATCTATTAAAGTTAATTGCCACTTCAAGAGTTCTACTTTAAGTGAGGCAATCGCTCTAAGGCTCTTTTTAGCATCATTTTTTTCGAACAACACCACTTACTCGAATTAGGTTTTTGTTTTTTTTTTCCTTTGAAATTTTACAACTACGTTGTTTGATTAAAGTTGTTACATTATACAAAATAGGGTATTTAAAAAAAAAAAAGAGGGTATTGCTAAGTAACCTTGATGTCCGATATGTTTAAAAGGAGAGAGAAAGAAGAAGATTACATGTACTATAGAGGGTTTTATTTATTTGTTCATTTGTATATTTTTTCTCTAAGGCCAATGCCATCTATTTTTAAGCAAATAGATTTGGTCTTATTGGTTAACACCACCTTACAACAACAAGGTAGACGGGTCATGGCAAGACCTTTCTTTATGTTAAGAGCCTCATGAATAGGTGGATAATTCTTAATAAAGAGCTCACATTATATCAAAAGGTTCTTCCAATAACAATGCCAACGTTAGCTTTATATACCTACTCAATTAGACCAATGAAAGTAGAACCACTTAGTCACTTCATAGATCTCTCTACGAATCCCTATCTCAAATTGAACACATATCCGTTCAAGATTGCCCGACAAATAAGTAATGATTGGAGGAACACCTTGGTCAAACCCAAATTGATGTGCAACTCGATGAGGAGCATAATTCACTACCCAAGACTATACATCACACATTATGCGTATATGTACTCTAGCATGGAAGAAAGAGTTTCAAGATGTGCCCATATCAAGAAATCAAGCTCTTTATCATTAACGTTATTCCTAACTATCTTAAAGTCAATTTGTCATTTGCTATCCAAAAGATAGCATATGTCAACACAATCCTCATAACCTATAAACTATTAAACATATGGGCAAAAGGTAAATTTTGATTTATGATCAATTACATATAGAAGTTTATCATCGGATGTCATTTTAGTCCAAGCTAATGCATAGCTACTTTGATTTGGTCACCGAGGTCTATCTCATATGGAGTTTATAGCACTTAAGGAATGGGAGCGGAATCCGAGGATCTAGCTAAAAAAAAGAGTTTTAGGAAGGGAAAATCCATTAAAAACTACACATCAAATTGACCTTTGGATCTCCGTGAAGCATAATGGCATACATCTAGTTTCCCATAGAGACAACCTAAATATAAGGGTGTGATGAGTATGACCAATCTTGTGAAATCCTCATGGCCACCATAATCCATCTAAGGTTGATATAGTTGTCAAGAAAGCCAACAAATACTCGTTTGACAAACCCACACTAATAAAAAGTCTACGAGCTCATATCTAAAAAAATATATAATAATAAAAAAATATATAAAGATAAAGGAGTTGGTTGCTCTATAATGTGCTAACTCAAAATTTCAGTTTTTTTTTTTGGTATTTTTTGTATTATTTTATTTATTTATTTTTACTTTTTATTTTATTTTATTTTCGTATTTATTTTGATCTATATTTACTATTATTAGCTTTATGTTTAATTTTAGGAATCGTCTTTTATTTTTTTTAAAAAAAAGAAAGAGGTTTTAATACATAATCAATTTATCAAAAAGAAAAAGGAAAATAAATATACAAAAAAATGTAAAAATAGAAAAAAAATCTTGCTTGAAATGATTAATTAGATGTATAAATGAAGGAAATAAGGATTGAAATTGAAAACAACCAGATTTGAAATCGAAAGTCCATTAGGGATAAAACTAAATGAAATATGGATGCAATTGAATAAAATTAGGATTGAAATTGAAGGCCATTAAGTGGTACAATTGAAATGAAAATCAAGGGCATAATTGTAAGGAATTAAAACATCCAAGGACCAAGTTGAAATTAAACGAGTGAATGACAGGACCAAAAATCGATCAAATAACCTATCGTTCGTTACAACCTAAAATCAATCCTCCCTCCGATACTCGTTCATCTCTCCCATATTGTTCATCGTCTTCTATCAAAGAAGATAAGTTTATTCACGACCAAAAATCTTGGTTAGTATTTATACTAGCTAGGAATCATGCTTTACACGACACACTTACACCACCCGCACCCACCCATAAACAAAACACTACACACATTTTTCCTTCTACGCCACTCACTATTTGCATCATTTTTGTTAGGTTGGTTGATCGTTACTTCTACAAGTTACAACACTAGTTCTTTGCATCTTAATTGGCTCGCTAACTAGTCGTCCGATCAATTCTTAAGAACCTCCCTTACAAAACCAAATAATGCTTTTAATCTGCTAATGCCTTTGTTTTTTATAATAATTCCAAGAACATCAATCACAAGCCACCACATATAACTTTATGCCTTTCTTAATTAATAATTGAGTTTCATACTAAGAATAGATCTTGGTCATTTATTTTTTGAATGGATGATGAAGAACTAAATCACCCATTCAATAAAAATAAGAGGTAAACTTGAAAAATGCTCTCCAACTATTGAGCTACTATTAAATTTGTCTCCAAATAAATTTTTATATTAATTTTGTTTCTAAAAAACTTTGATTTCTCAAATTAGGATCTTGTATTAGAATTCCTTACAAGGTTTTCTTTTCTTTTCTTTCTTTGATAGGAATAATAAATGATGAGCCACCCGATTTGATTCTCAAGCCCTAAAATTGATAACAAAATAAGAGAAACACTTTATGATGTTTGATACAAAATATTCCTTATTTACTTTTAAGTTTCCTAATAAGGACGATTTGGTTAATTCTTAAAGCATTTAATTGAAAATTTAGAGAACCTAAAAAATAAAATTGATATAATAATGGCTTAATGTTTCAAAAAATAACAAACTATACACATTTTAATGATTTTAGCTTATTCTTTAAAAATTGTATAGAAAAGTCACCAACTATGGATCCGATAGCAATATTAGCACCGATTTGATTTTTCGATCAAAATTCGATCAACACCGACATGGCAGGTGACGAAGCATGACATGTGAATATTAGCAAACCACGCAAGATCCACGTAAGCATGACCCGAGGACATTAGCAAGCCATGTAGGATTCATATAATTGATTTTCTACGTCATTGCTTACGTGGATCCTACGTGGCTTACTAAAGTCCATGTGTCATGCCAACATGGATTGCCATATCATCATTGTCTCGGAATTTTGGTCGGAAAATTAGATCGGTTATAGTATTGTTATCGAAAGCTTAATTGGTGACCTTTCTATATAATTTTTAAAAAACAAGCTAAAATTATTTAAAAAATATGTAGTTCATAATTTTTTAAAACATTAAGCCTATAAAATTTTATTTGGTAGCAAAATTGACATTACCTATATAATTGGAGGCAATTTTCTAGGTTTTTCCTAAGAGTAAATAAATCTATTAACCTTCTTGACTTAGTTGTATTTTATACCATGATAATACTCTTTAATTTTTAATCACATTCAACAAACAACCCATTGATGCATATTTTTTGTTTGAATTGGAGTCAAAGGTAAAAAAAAAATGTCACATATCCCGAACTTCATGATTTTTTTTATTTTTTTTATAAAAATAAATTTGATGATTTAATGCTTCACATGATTATTATTTTTTATGGTTAGAAATATTTTTGGATCAGCTTATATGTCTAGTAATGTTAGATTCTCATAAGAATTTACGGTGAATTTTTTAGGTTATGTTTGTTATGATTTTTGCAAATTAATTTTTTTTTTAATTTTCCTTAAAAAAGTAAAAAGTATGTTTACCTAGAAATAAATTTTAACTTAAATAAAAAATTTGTTTCAAATTGTTTATTTAATTAAAAGTTAAGAGTTTTTAACTTTTAACATATTGATTATAATTTATATTATAGAAAAATTGTTTTTAGTCATTTTATCAAAAATAATTTCAATTTAAATTTATTTCAACTCATTTTTTTAAGTTACTTATGAAAAATATTTTTTGGATTATGAATTAAAGTAAAAAATCATAATCCAAAAGTTATGTCAAACAAACCTTTAATTAGGTGCTGAGTAGGTTTCCTTATTTGTACAATTATAGATTCAAATCCTAAAAAATGCCTCTCGCTCTTTTTTTCCTTCTTTTTTGCGAGATATCCCATTGGAGAAAAATTCTACGAAATTTAGAAAATATAAAAAATTAAATTAGTTATTTAGAACCAAAAGAAAAATCAATTAGAAACTGGAAATACAGAAATATCATTTGAATTTACTACTATTTACTCATATACCATTAGTAACTCACCCACACGCATACGTTCGAGTTTCTATTCAGTCAGTTATGACTCACACGAGTCGCGACTCACAACATACTCCCTCCCTCTCCCTCTCCCTCTCCCTCTACTCTGCAACAGAAAAAAAAATCGACGACTCCGTTTCTTCTAGGGTTCCTTTCCCTGAGAAACGAAAAACGACACCACCCTCTCAAATAAAACGGCTCGGATTCCTACAAAATTAGGGTTTCATGTTCTTCTTCATTTGTGAAATCTTACTCGTTTTCATGTCTTGTAAATGGAGATTGCTGCCTTCGATTTCACTCTCTCTCAATCTTTCCTTATAGCCTCATCTCTCACTCTCTTCTCTCTCTTACTAGCTCTCCTCACTCTCCGATCAAAATCTCCCAAATCTAATCTCACCGTCCATTCATCCACGTCAGCAGCATCAACTGGAAAAACGAGAACCTGCAGCTGTTGCTGCTCTTGTAACGGTGAAATTGTAAGTGATAATAGTACGGATTCTGTTACGGCGGAGGAGAAGTACGTGAACGGTGGCGGGGAGGCGGAGGAGATGGTCGTGGAGAAGCAGACCGGAGCGTCGATGATGGAGCAGTTAGTACCAGAGATTACGACACACGCGCTTAGTTATTTGGATTATCCGAGTTTGTGTAGGTTATCGATGACTAATTCGTTGATGCGTAAAGCTGCTAACGATGATAATGCGTGGAAAGCGCTTTATCATAAGGTATTTTTTTGTTGTTAATTTTGAGAATTTACTTTAGTTTTTTTGGTTAATTTTGTTAGTGATAGTAGGTTTTTAAGTGCATTTGTTTTTTTAATGTGAAATACGCGGTATTTAGTGTGAAAAGTTGTTTATTTCCTTCTTAATTTTGTGTTGTTGTTATAAATTAGTGTTGTTTGGTTGGAAATTTGGTGTTTTAGTTGCTGTTAAATTGTTATTTTGGCCAATTGTGGGGATAATGTGTGAAATATGGTGGATTAGGGAATCGGCGTAAATGTGACTTGCATTAACAAGTAGCAATGTAAGGTTTTGTCGTTGCAGAATCTTCTTATATGCATTGTAAAACAGTTGATTTCGTGAAGGAAGTACTGTAAGACACTGTTTTTTGTTAGATTTTCTGTATGTGGGAAGGTCATTAATTTTTGTTGCATAACTTCCGTTCCTCTTTTGCAGAATTCAGAGAATAATAGTTTAGTTCTCTTTTGCAATGCATGTAGGTTTTGAAGAGCTATAGTTTTAGAACCCCTAACCTGAATAATAAGACAGTGTAGGAGTGTAGGAGCGGTATAAGGTATCAGTTTTTGTAAGGTAGAGTTTCTCTTTTAAATATCTCTTAATTCTTTCCTTAGAGTTCTGGAAGCTATTCTTTGTCATTTTTATTCTCTCTTTGTTTTAGTGTCCTTGAGTTTAAATTTCTCTTTATGATGATGGATTTACTAGGTTGCAAATGTGGATTTAAAAGCATAGATGTGTTTTTTTCTTTTTTCAGTAGTTGCTTTTGAGTTTTTATTTCTCTGGGTTTTTCCTGTTTTTGTGTGTGTGTTGATTTTTTTCTTTTGCACTTCCTGTGTTAGGATTTTACATTGGAACAAGATAGTGTGACACCTGTTAATGGGTGGAAGGCTTACTATGCGGTTACAAGAGCCATTGTGAATGTCAATACAGAATTCTTTAACATCATTAGAGGAAGATCTCTTCAAGCAATGAGTCAATTATGGCTTAATGCAGATTATGTGAAGTGCACCCATGCATCTGGCGAAAATTTTTCAGGGTATGATTATTAAACTTAACTTTAGATAATAAGATTATATTTATCTTTACATGGAATGACATTAAAAAGTTTGACAACATTCCTGCCGTTTTCAGTACTTAGTGTGGTTTATGAGTTGTTGAATGTTTTTTTAGTGACATACTCCTGTGATGTCTGCTCCATGTCACACTGTTAACTGGAAAAGCACTAGTTGTGGGGACTTCCTAATAGATGGTGTTAATTTACAGAGGATTCACACATTTCACAGCTGGGACCTTGTAATTTAAAGATATTTATCCTGGTTAATGCACTTGGGGAGCCAAGGAGGACGTATATAGGATGATAATTGTCCTGTAGCCAATTTGTATGGTTTTGATGAAATATTGCAGGATGGAAATACAGTGTTGATTTGAATTCTATCATGATATAATTATTTTCCGACTTGAAAGGCATGTATCCTTAAGTTGCATATCTTGGTTATGAATTTAGATATATATTCTTGTTATTTGATGGAGTAATAGCTCTGCTAGCTTGGGCTACCAGAACCTTGTTTAGAATTTGCTAGATGGGGGAATATGTGGCTTGTTAGAGTAAACATGAACTGCCTTGTAATGTTGGAGAAGCACTTGCATACATTGGAAAAGCAGATGAGGGGTGATGTTCTGTCTTCCTATTTGTTAAGGAATGTAGGAAATGAGATTTTAAAATAAGTAACTAAATGTTAGGAACAGGTACTTTTTTATATCCAAAAATTAATTTGCCTTTGTGACTTCTGTAGTTGTGGAAATTGGAAAGAAGTGATTGATCCGTAAAAGATGACTTCTTAGATAGTATGAGTGAATCACCTTTTTCACAAGTATACTGGATGTAGTTTTATGTTTATCAATTAAGGAAACATGTTTGGTGGTGGTTTGCTTTTAGGATAGAGAATCATAGATTTTTTATTCCTTCATCACATGTCATTGCTTCCAATTTGATGAAATGGCAATTGGGTCAGATACAGTAAAAATAGTCAGATTATTTATGTTGGTAATTGTGTTTTCTTATGAGAAGAAAACCTTGTTAAATGTGTCATATTTGGCTATTTAAGTTCCTTGGACTGTTGGATGTCTTTTTTAAAATTGCTAGTAATAGTATTAGAAGATTCTATTCTACAAAGGTACAAATTAGACCAGAGTTGATATCTTCCCCGTAAGACTTATTATGTGATGACGTTGTATAGCTGCTTGTACTGCTGCCTTAATTAGATTTGCAACTTCTTTAAATCATTGTGTGCTGTATTCAAAACTTGTTTGCTTTTAAGGTTTGATTGAAGTGAACATAGAGCTGAGGCATGCTTGACCCGTACAGGTATAATGCTGTGATACAGAGTTGGCAGTTTGCATTTAATTGGGAGCAAGGGTTGGACTTCCAGGTTCGTGATGTAAGGGCTCGTGTGATGACTGACATGGCTTGGGTTACCATGAAAATGTATGTTGTTGAGATGGAAAATGGGCCATTTAACGTAACTAATGTCTTTGAGTCCCACAATGGGCGGTGGTACCTGGTGCATCATCACAGTTCAGTGATGATCATCGATGGGGAGGTGGATCAACAGATTGTGCATGCATAAATGAAGAGAAAGGAGAAATGATACCCAATTGACAACTTAAATACTAGTTTCAAAGCAGCGGTATTTGTTAGCAAGAGAAAGTTTCTTGTATTTTCTTTATGAATTCACTGGAAGATCATCCCAACCTCAGTTTTGGTTGTTTTGTGTTAAAGAGGTCATTTTTTCCGCATTTCTGTTATCCTCCCGACTTTTAGTTCTGTAATTATTTTGCTTAATTCATTCTTAGACATGGATAACATATACATACAGCGATTGGAAAAGGGCTTCTTTTATCACCATCGGACAAAGTAATTGAAGGACCAAAATGGGAATTACGTGCTGGACCGTGAAGCGGACAGATTATGATTGGTGGAATTGCCAGGAGACGTGGAAGTCAGCTTGCGAGATGAGTGGATGAGAAGTGATTTATTTATGCTTCCGTTCCATATCCGCCTTCTGCTTTAATGTTTACCATGATTTTTTTTTCCATGTTTTTCAATTGCACGATTTGGTGCAGATGGCCAACATGATAAAATTGGATGTTGTGCCATGTTTTTGGTTTTCCGGTTATATGTCAAATGGTTTACAATTCTGTTCCAGTAGTGTCCAGAGGGGATGGATTTGGGGAAACTCAAATGTCCTCTATCGATCTAGTTGACCAGTGTTGACTACTTTCTCCGCTTTTTCTATATGCTATTAATTGAAATATAGAAATCGGTAGCCGGTTAACAGTTGCTCAACAAGGATTGTTCTTGTACTTGGATTTATGTTTAAAAAAAAAAAAAACCACTCATCACATGGTATGGATTTACCGCACTAGGGTCCTTTTTCAGAAGCAGAGGGAGCAGTTTCACATTCAGGAATTCCATCTCTCTGTCCTGCAAGAGTTCCAGCGAGGCAAGGGCCTTCGGTAGTTCATCTCTCTGTACTGGTAGATAGTTCCATCTCTCTACACCGCAAGAGTTCTGGCAAGTTTAGAGAGAGAAAGAGACCAATGGCAATACAGTATTTAAAGTGGACTGTGTACTAATTTATTCGAAGGTCGCTTAGGTCAAATTTGACTAAGAGACTCAAGGTTGTATGTAAGGGTGGTCATTCAGTTTTTAACAATTGCGATTTGGTGTTTTGTTAATAGAATTTACAAAAACAAAAATCAATTCAAACAGATTTACTATTTGATTTTTCAGCATAAAAATCAAAATTTTAGTTTTTTTTTTATTTTTTTTTTAAGCTATTTTTTTAATTTTTTATGATTTTCTAATTTTTTTTAAATACTGTAAATACATAAAAAAAAAAACACTACCAATCAATCATATATCTATAATAATGTTAAGGTATTGATTTTTTTATTTAAAGTAAATATATTCATATGTACTTATACAATACTTAAAATTTTTCATGCATTCTTAAGTTTTCAATTACATCACATTCGTTCTTGAAAATTTTTTAAATATTCAATATGTTTTTTCTTATCATTTTTTATGACCATAATTTTTTTTTCTTTTAATGAAATGTCCTTTACTAAAATGGAAAAAAAAAAACACTTAATGTCACATGACATTTATGTTTTAGTTTTGAAGTCTTTATAATTTATTTATTTATTTTTGTATTTCATTTAGGAGCATTTCGGTGTGTGTGTGTGTGTATATATGTATATATATATGGTTGAAAAATTGATCGAAATGACACATTAAATATTTTAAAAAATTTCAAGGATAAATGAGATGGATATATTTATAAGGACGAGATGCAATTGAAATCTTAAAGACAAATGGGAGACATTAGATATTATATAAGGATAGATTGATATATTTTTAGTTTTATTTATTTTTATTATTGTAAAAGTTAAAAAAATAATGAAAAATAAGATTTGGTTTTCAGTTTAAATCGAACTAAAAAACCAAAAAAATTTTGGTTTGCTTTTTTTTTAAAAAAAAAAATTGAGTTAAAAACCAAATCGAAACCGAATTTTTCGATGGCTGAAATTATTAAGCAGTGGTCGTCCTACTTTTAATCCTAGAGATATTTGAAATTTTAAAAATGAAAATAATTATTATCTATACTTGGAATGTAAAGGCCTAGGAATTCTTCAAAAGGATTTCTAGATCGCCAAGGATGCCTGGATTGTAAGGTTAGAAGGCGAGCATGCCATAAATGGAACAACTAAAAATTGATACATTGAGTAGTTATAGTAGTATGCAATCAAAATAATTAAACTCGAATTGAAAGCAAGCAAATTAACTAATAACAAAACATAAATTAAAGACTACAACATTGAACATAAACTGAAATTTGTAGATATTAAATAAAAAGATATTTTCAAATGACTATGACTTCGCAAACGTAGTAACTTATAAACATAAGAAATAATGAGTAAACACTAATTTGAATTTCAAATATTGAGAGACGGGATCCGCATGTTCGCAAAAAGTATGAAAATCAAACCAAGATCGAACTACTAACCTACTATTATTGCTTATTATTACTGTCTACTAATTACTCGTTTATAAACGATAGCATACCGTATTTCAAATGTTAAAAAAATTTGAGAGATGATGCTGATAATTTGCAAGAGTATTATTGCTTTAAGTATTTGTTATGTGTCTTGTTGTAACTAGTATTTATAACATTTGCATCATTCTACATTCTTATATATCGAGCCACATTCTTGAACTGTAACATCCCATAATTTTCCACGTTGAGCTATAATGCTCAATTTTGCCTTAAGTTACAATGCTTCATATTTTTTGATGTTTTCACCCATTCATTGAAAAGCTTCCACATCCCATGCATAGTTTTGGGTTTTGCCTCTAATCGTTTGAGTTAGTTGCTCATCTACTTCCATTCTTGTTAGCCTTTTGTTTTGAATAAGACTTGGTTTTCTCTATTTTTTTTTTAACCTATGATGCAATTTTATTTAGAGTCTACTAGCATATATCATGTGCATTACTGCGAGGTAATCTATATAACATTCTTATGTGTTTATTCATATAAAATACAACATTCAAAAATAATTATTTAAAAGGATCACATAAAAAAATAAAAAAAATCAAAACGTATATCTCATATTTTTTGTAGGATTAGCTAAACAAAAAGTCCGAAAAGTTAAATAATATAAAGTTGCTAATTAGATATTGTTTTATATAAACATGTATTTTATTAGAAATATGTATAATAATTGGTAACTAAAATAATGATGTGATAGTTTTTTGAAATTTAGACGATTAATTTTTACCATATATTCTTGATCCGTAATTTATTAATGAGATAGAGAGATCACAAAAAAAAAAAATTATTAAAATTGAGAATTTGGCAAAAACATATATATATATATATATAGAGATAAAATTACACACGATTAAAATTAAATAATAAAAAAAATGTAAAGATAATAAAAAAATGATCAAAATAAATAAAAAAAATTTCACTAAAAAAAAACATATAAACAATAAGACTAAAAAAAACTCATTATACATAAGGCGAGAATAAAAGTAAAATATTATAGAATTTTAATGACCAAAATAAGAACCAAAATGCAAAATATTTTTTTACCAAAATCCAAAAAAAAAACTTTGAATATTGAAACTGTATTTAATTTTCGTATAAAAAGAATAATAATCAAAATCAAAATAAAAAAAAGATCACAAAATAAAAACCAAAACATAACAAAATTTTTTACTAAAAGTAAAAAATAGTTCCTTGTAAGGAAAAAATCAAATATAATAAAAATTTAATGATCAAAATAAAAAAAAATTACAAAACAAAGACTAAAACAAAAATAAAATTCTACTAAATTTAATGACCAAAACAAAGAAAAAATCACAAAACAGGAATTATAATACAAAGAAAGGTTTCACTAAAAGCTAAAAAAAAAAATTTAGGATAGTAAAACTTTATTTAGTTTTAGTATAGTAACGACAAAAATGAAACACGATAAAACTTTAATGAAAAAATAAAAAAAAATATCACAAAATAGGAAAAAAAAACATAAATTTTTACTAAAAAGCAAGAAAAAAATTTATTAGAGGGACCAAAATCAAATATAATAAAATTTTAATATTTATTATAAGGATTAAAAATAAAATATAATAAAATTTTAATGATCAAAATAAAAAAATATTACAAGATAGGGATTAAAATAAAAAAAAGTTTACTAAAAGCCAAAAGCAAGCGGAAGAGAACGGGGAAAAAAGAAGAAAAAAGAAAAGACGGTAGCATGTAGGAGGGAAAAAAGAAGAAGCTATTAACAGTTAATCCACGGTGAAATTGCTAAAGTTGTTTGCCGTTTTCTTTTAGTTTTATTTGTAATTGTAATGTAATTAAGCATGGATCCTATTGATAACCTATCTTCATATAATTTGAGCTTTTTTTGTCAGTGGGCCGAAAGCTTTTCTTTGTGGATTTAATGATATCGAGTTTTTTAGCCACCCAATAGCCTATATAACGGGCCTTATGGTAAAAGGCTTATCAGATTTTTTTATTATTATTATTTATTAGACTACCAAACCTCAATCAAATTCGAGTGTAACAAATATTACGTAAAAAAAAAATTTAGGAAAAAATTCAAAATAGAATTTCTTTAAAAAAATTTACGGTCATATTCAAATGTAGAAAATAATTCTGTTTTCTAGAAAAATATCTCTACAGAAAATGAAAAATATAATTTTGTGTTTAAATATGATTTATTTCTATAAGGTTTCTAGAAAGGGGGAGAGAATGCGGGCTTAGGGTATTTATATTATTACAATGAAAACTAAAAGAACTGATAAAGTCACTGTTTAGATACTATATCTCTACACACATGGTCCCTGTGGATTGTGATTCAGGTGCACTGTGCTGTCTCCTTGCTTGGTCTTGGCCGCCCGATCGTCTTTCCCGTTGCTTTGCTGTTTGGTTCCTTGATCTCGGCCGTTCGTTTGCCAGTTTTTTTATTCCAATGTGCGTGTCTATTATTAGAATGGTCGCTGTTTGTTTTGGTCTTATAAGTGGTATGTTTTGTGCCTTTTTTTTTTGGTTTATTTTCTGTTTTGCCACTAGTTTGGTTTTGTTCTTTTACTTCTGTGCCCTCCAATTATTCTTCTTCTTGTTTTTTTTTTTTTTTTTTTTTTTTTTTCCTCCAGATAGGTTCTTATTGTCAATTTCCTTCTTGCATGCCCCATTTAATGCCCCCACATTAATGGTGCTGTTATTAGTGTTTGTTCAAATTTCATTTTTTTCACCTGTTTAATACCTATTTGAGGGGCCGAAACTGGATGGTAATGGAATGGATTTGGACTGGGTGACACCCTTGTTTTTTTTTTTTTTTTTTTCATGTCAATAGAGTTTAGGATAGAAAGAATTGGATTGGGGTTGAGTTTGGGATTCCCCATTAATTAAAAAAAAAAACATAATTTTTTATATTTACAATTAATATATGATAGTTAATAGCTAATGAAAAATAAAAATTAAATCCATATAATTATTGAATTTTACCCAGATGCTCCATGCCTAAACGCCTGCACCTTGGTTTTTTTTTTCTTTAATTTTTTTAATTAGGAATTTTTATGCATGTTATTATTTATGTTTTTCACATAACGTGGTGATAATATATATATATATATATATATATATATATATATATATATATATATATGTTTTAGGTTATATTACTCTTTTTATTTAAAATCTATTCTTTGAATTTTTTATTTTTTTATGAAAATCCTCATCTAATTAATATTTTCTTATAAAATTTTATTTTTTAATAAATATAATTTATTTTCTCTATATTTGAATTTTAAAATAATAATTGCATATATATATATATTTTTTTTTTTTAATTTAAAAGGTTAAAAATGTATTTCGGATAATTTGTCTCGATCTACTAAATATAGTCAAGACGAATAAAAAAAATATTCAATAATCAGTTTTATTAAAAAACAATTATATATATTCGCACATAACACCAATTATTTGCTATGAATATTTTTCTTAACATTATAAAATAAGTTTCTTTGAAATAAAATAGTTAAAAAAATTTTAAAGAAACCACCCAATTATTTAAACACAACTTTTTATGCTAGCATTGAAAATTATTTTGTAAACAAATATATATAGATATAACGCATGTACTTTTAAAAAATAATTTTTTCATTAGCATTAGATATGTTTTTTATTAATTGATTTTTATATAATTCTATACATTAATCATAACTTTATTATTATTTTTTTGATACATTATTATGAAAAATATATTTTTAAATTTTTTTTTGAATTCTTGATTAATATTTTACTTTAAATTATTAAAAAATTTTATTCAATAATCAATGTAAAAAGAAAAAAATTGATATTTTTTTATAAGAATAAATTTATGAAGGAACATAAAAAAATTAATTAAAATATTATAAAATTTTGAATGGGTAATTTACTATTTATTACAAAATTGGTAAACTAGTACCGTAAGGTTCCATGGTCTAGTGGTCAGGACATTGGACTCTGAATCCAGTAACCCGAGTTCAAGTCTCGGTGGAACCTTTCTATTGGTTTTTTCCCAGGCACAAGTCCAACGCAAACTCACGATATCCTTCTGTGGGGCCTAACATACGTAGTGGTTGGATTTGAAGCCGTTCTCTGCAAGTTAGTGGCTACCATCCATTCCTCTCCTTCCTACACACACGCTTACAGAGGATAGGGAGAAAGAATGGCAGTAGCTCTTGTCTCAGTTCCAACAGCTCACCAAACCCTTTGCACTCAACGCTCATTTACTAACAGCAACTCATCGTTTCACAGCTATACAACAACTCTCATCAAGTACTCATCTAAGCCCATCATCATCCCTCTTTGTTCTTCCTCTACTTCTTCAACTTCTGTTGTAGAGGATGCTCCCCCTCCTCCTTCATCAGATGCTCTTCCTGCCACCGAAGGTGTTGACAAGCTCCCTCTTAGGTGCTTCCCATCTCTCTCTCTCTTTTAATTGTTAAGCCCATGAATGATGTGGTTATACACTTCCAATTGTTTGGTTGCCAAGAATTCTAATTAAGGAATAAGTTAACTCAGTTGAATGACCAATTTGTAATAGGTTAAAGTTGCGGATGAGGAATTTAGAAGAGTAATTCACATTTTAATCATTCATTCATTTAGCGAGACACAAAGTTTATCATAAATTCTAGTACTTGAGATGTCCAGCTCAATTTTCCTTGCAAAAAGTTCATTTTTTTCAATCTATTCGTTGTTGTAAGAGGCAACATAGAAGTGGCAGTAGGGAGAATTTGTTAGCTGTGCAAGAAAAGGGGGTGGGGGAGTTAGAAGGAGCTGTAAAGCGTGAATTTCAGTTCAGTTCTTGTATTACATGCTGCTATCTCATCATGATTACAAAATTTACTGCGGGTTTATGGGTGTTTGGAGAAGGGTAGGAAATATTGCACAAAAGAATTTGATACAAGCTTCCATTTTTCACTAGAAGAAATCAATTCTTTGAGCTGCTGAAAGATGTTTTAAAGCTTTGCTCATGGAAAAAACTCTCAAGGATGGTATATATGGTTTAAGTCTTTTGACACATTTTCAGCCAAGAATTCTCTTTTTGCTTGCCTTAGAGAAGGTGGTTAATGAACATTCTTTTTCTACAGTGGTTGTAAGGGATGTGGGAGAGAGGAAATAGAGAAGGGATGCAATGGAGAGGGAAGAATTCAAGGTGGGATAGCAACCATTCCTGGGTTCGGTTGGTGGCCGATAAAGGCTTACAGACCCTGTCCCGGATTTTTAGCTTCTGGTGGCAGGTATAGGCGACAAGGCCAAAGCATGGATGAGGTTGCCTTTGGAAGGGGGCAGAAAGAAACAACTAGGGATCAGTGATGAGGGGGAAACCAGGTAAATTTGTGCACAGTTTTACCTAAGAATTGGGCATCCTGCTGATATTATTTCTGGAAATTTTACATAAGCAAGTGGTCCTGGATTTTATGCTTGTTTTGGGATAAGCTGGCCAAGTATGATGTGCAGTTACTATATGTACAATCCAGCCTATTTTCATTTAGAACTAAAAAAATGAAGATACAGACCAGCAGACACTTGTGTCCATTTAAAGTTAAGTTGGCATCTAAAGTTGCAATTGTTGAATGATCTGTTGCTTGTAAAAGAGAACAACAATTTTTCATATGATTCCCTCATTTCTTAGTGTGTTTAGCAATTTAATTTATGATAGAATGGTAATAGTCATTGTTTTGGTGATAAAAGCCTTTTTTGCATCTATTTCAAGCATAAAAAAGATATAATCCATTCGGCATTCAGTCTCATTTCTCTCCAAATCTCTTCTACATCTGCACAAAATGAAAACAGGGAGATGGCAACTTAAAAGTTTCTTCACTACACTTTCCTCGTTTAAATATCCAAATGCAGGAACATCTTACAAATTTTTCTCGAATCTTTAGCAGTCGAAGTCCACGCTTCATAAACATTCGTCTTCAAAGTGCATATTTACAGCTGGTTTAACAAGCCAAAACTGTAACATAGCTAATTGGGTTAGCGAATGGTGCTTGAGTGTTGATGAATTAAGTCCATATTCTATATATGTTGCTCATCCTGTACTCGCTGTCCATCTTATGCTCTGAATGTTGTAAGCTCATTTTCGTGTGCACCACTGCACCTTTCTTTTGTGTACTTAGTTCCAGTTATAATGTATGTATAACTTCTACCAATCTAGTTACACAATATGTTGCATCATGCCAAATATTGCAGGAAGAAAAAGCAAGATCCAAAGAGATTTAGGAGGTAACACTGGGGAAGGAGATGGGCTTGACTATAGCTCGACTGGCAATGCAGAACAGGTTGAGATTTATATCTGTTGGCACTTGTGATCGTGGGTTGTGGCTGTGATCCTTTCTAGCCTTCTGGCCCCATAAAAAAAAGAGAACTTATTCTTCAATTCTCAGATTCATGTTGTTTTGCCCTGCATTTCTTCCAATCTGGTTTACAGCCTTATACAGCATCAGAAACTCTGATGTTCTTCATAGTTGATTCTACTGAGGACGACTTTTGGAAGATATCTACTTATTCAGCACCCGTTTCACAAATCAAATTTTACAATGTGGCATTACAGAAAAATTCCTGAGACTTCTTAGTGTAATTATGTTCTGATTAAGCTTTAATGGATTGTCTAGAGTTGAACAAATCAATTCATAAATTAGCAACCCAAAATAAGAAATTATATCACAAGTTTACAAGTTATGCACTGGCCCCAAGCTTTGAGACATTGAGTGTAGAAAGAAATGAATGATCCATGATAACAAAGAGAAACATAGTTCTTTCTTCTAAGCTAAACGAAGGCATTTGGAGGTTGTTTGGTATTTGGATTCCTTGACTTGAAAATGTCGTATACTTGGGAATGTGATATATCCGGGAACATAATTTCCTTCATTTTGCAAGGGAAGGTAATTCTCCTCCTGAGTGGAAAATTTAGTCTTTTAATTATTTTACTTTCCTGTAAATGTGAGACTTCTAAACATGCAATGCAGCAGTAGAATATATATATATATATATTGATAGAAAAAAGAAGAAAAGGAAAGAAACCATAGGCACAAAATCCCTCTCCAACATTAAAGTTGTGTTCGGTTCCTATCTCTCGGAATAGAAGGAACGGAAACGCATAGGAAATGAATTTGTTTGATTGATAAAATAAGAAGAAAAACTAGACAAAGTGAACAAATTTATATACCTCCACATAAAGAGGTACAGAGGAGACATTTAAATTTTGATAATTTACTTTTTTTTTTTTTTTCCAATAATGAATTTAAGATTGCAAGCAATATTGTCATATATATATATATATATATATATATATATATATACCAATTAAAAATTCTGTGGAAAATCGGGTCCATGATATAGATTATAGTGTGCCCCAAGCCCAAAGGTGGTTGACACCATGACCTGGCAGTAAAAAAGTTACACTGTCAGTTGACACGCACCCGACTTCCTTTCCCAATCAAGTTAAAAATTTGAAACCCCTAAAACCGAAAGAACAAAACGCAGAAGCCCTAATTACGCAATAACTCATAGTCGTAGAGAATCTATTATCACTCCCTCTGTATTAGATTTTATTTCCAGTTAGTGTCGGAATCAGAATCCTTAAAACCCGAAAAGAAAAAACATGGAACTGAAATTGAGAATGCAAATCAAAGAAGCGGTACTAGAAATCTTGGAAGACTCCGACATGGAAACTACAACAGAACATCAGATTCGTAGGTTAGCATCCAAGAAACTTGACCTTGACCTCGATAAATCAGAGTACAAGGCTTATGTCAGACACGTTGTTAATTCTTTCCTTGAAGAACAAAAGGTCAAACAAGAAGATGATGAAGAAGAAGGAGGCAAGCAGGAGCAAGAGTATGATGATGAGGGTAATCTTGTCATTTGCAGGGTTAGTGCTAAACCCTGAATTTTTAATTTTTCCTGCTTGGTGTTAGCTAGTTTATGGATTTGGAAACTTTAATGTTACAGAGGTCAGGGGTTGTTAATGAAGATTGATTTTTTTTTTTTTTTGTGTGGAATTGATTGACAGTTGTCAGCTAAGAGAAAAGTGACAATACAGAATTTCAGAGGAGCAAATTTGGTGTCAATAAGGGAGTATTTCCATGACGGTGGAGTAGAAAGGCCTACTACTAAAGGTGAATTATTAAATTATGGATTTTCATTTCTTCAAGTTGTTGTATAATGCTTTAGTTTTTTATTTTTTTATTTTTTTTACTTTTGTGGCTCTATGTGGGTTTTTTGTATTGATGCAAAATAAGATTGGTTTGAAGGAATTTTTCTAGTTGATTAAATTGACGTCCTTAATGATCATAGTCTTTCTGGTTCTCTGAGTTTGGTGGATTAATCAGTATTAAATAAGTGTATAGGCTGAGAGAAAATATAAATTATGGTTTTGGTTATGGAAGTTTGGTTTTGAATCTTTCTGCTTAAGATTTTACTTGCTTAATTTTATGATGGGCAGCGATTTTGTCTGGTTGAGTTGTGCTATAGTCAATGTCAAATCATTTTTTTATCTCTTGAACAATCTGATTTTGAGCATATTGGCATTACCAGACTATTTTGAACCACCCTTACAATATGATGGATCCATGAGTGATTTCTCTCAATAGATTTTCTGGTGTTAGATTATTGGACTATACATTACTATGTCTATATATATATATATATATATATATATGAGACTTGAAATTTTGGTGGGTGAAGTATATCATGTTTGACGTTTGCAGTTTAGAGCTCGCAGTCATTCCATTTGTGTGGTCTTGTATGATACAATTCTGTGATTTGCATTGGAAACTCTAGGGGTATGGATATGCTTAGATTTTGATTTCAGGGTAGTGAAGTATACTGTGTCCTGCTTTAATGGAGTTACTCCAGGCGGCATGATTTACCTGAGAACTATAATTACACCAAGTCCAACCTTCAGGAGATTACTATGCTTTTCATGTTCTTCAAACATAGAGGCAATTCAGAGAATATGGGAATAACGTTGATATAAAACCTTATGGACTTGATAATATGCATATTACAGAATTGAGGGAAGAAGGATCCAAAAGTATAAGTATGAAAATTGTTTACTGGAATCCGTGCAAGGTTTTGTGCTTTTTATTCAAGAGTCGGTTTTGTGCATCATGAACTTTTCAGACTTTTCAGTTAGAAATACATAACTCGTATTCATTCAAACTTCTACATCTGAGATAAAATGTGACCAAATTGACGAATGTCATTCTTGTATGCTTAAGACTCTGTTACTTCATTGGATTATGGTCGTTGGTTGCTTTTTATCTGTGCGTGCATGCCTGTATGTGTGTGTTAGAAGTCAGGCCTTTCTGATTAACTCTTTTGTTTCTCTGAAGCATTAAGCCCGGTTGTACTTTATGCTGCTAATATCTGGAAGTGCTGCTTAACCTTTTCTTGTTCTCTACTCTCAGGAATAAGCTTAAACGAGGAGCAATGGTCGAACTTGAGGAAGAATATACCAGCAATTGAGAAAGCTGTAAAGGACATGCAGGATCGGGATATTTGAGAGTGATTCTGGCTTCCGAGTTTTCAATGCTTGGCGTCTTAGAAGATTTATCTGCTGCTATGTTTGTACCACTGATCAATATTAAGTACAGAGAGCATGTTCTGGGCTCTTGGAAATACTCCATGTCTTTCAAGATTTTACTGTTGCTATTGCCTCTGCTTGTTCTTTTTGTCATATCTAATATAATATTGTGTAGACAGCTTGTTGTGAGTTAATGGCTTGTCACCCATACTGGCCTGGGTATATTCTCCTCCAGTGTATCGAGTCACAATTTAATGTTAATTGGTATTGCCTTGATTCGCATTCAAACTGTCAAAACTCAGATGCATAGAGAATTAATTACATTTCAAATTGATTTGATTATGACGTGATTTTACATATATAAATAAATGTGGCTCAGATGTTTTGAACAAGATAGTTTTTGTTTTTTGAGTAAAGTAGTTTCCAATCATAATTACTGTAATTTATTTGATTATTATTGTCTTTAATTGTGTAGTTTAAGGTCCAATAAACTTCAAAAATAAATAAATTACCATTTGTTATATATAGACATTGTTAAATATTTTTAAAGAACAGTTTTATTGTAATAAAAGTTGAATACGCACCCTTTTATATTGCATTTAAAAATGATTGTAAAAGCTTAAAAAGCATTTAATTGATATGGAAATGTCAAACCATAAAAAAAAAAAACATTTAAAATAGATAAATTTCATATCTTCCATTCAAATACATTTTTATTGAAAAAAAAAAAATCTACATTGTATTACTAAAGCAAATTATTGCCATAGCACAAATTTTGTTGCCGTCTTATAGTATCCAATTGAAAGTAACCAAATAAAATGAGGAGAATGGGGAAATTTTATTACATATTTCTCTTATCAATTATTTTATCGAATTATTAATTTTCGTAAAATAATATAATTTCCATTTGGTTAATTCATTAAATTCATCAAAATAGTAATATCTTTTCTCCAAAGCAACACTGATTATTATTCATGAGCCACGTGATCATTGAAATTGGTAAAAGAAGAAGAAGTGATTATTAATTATTTTTAAGTTGAAGTAACAAATTTTAATTTTAATTTTCAAAAACATGTATGAATGTAAAAAGAGTTATTTAGATAAAATTAAAATTATACTCCAATAATTGCTGCCGTTTCTTATCCCCTGCCTTCTCCAACAAACAAACTGGTGGACTTCCCATTCCATTGGTTTCCACTTAACGACGTGTCGGTTATCCGTGACCTCATAAATCCTCTGCACACTCTCCACTTCTTCTCCTTCCCGCTCTCCCTCCCCTCTCTCAGTGTGAAGTGTAAGGTTTCTTTTGGTTGAAATGAATAACAAAGGAGGCGTCTCAATGGCAGGAGGTGGAGGTGGAGGATCATCAGGAACAGCAACAACAAGTTCTTGGGTATCACCAACGTCAGTTTCAACATCAGGGAAAAGAATACAAAGAGAAATGGCTGAACTTAACATGGACCCACCTCCTGATTGCTCTGCTGGACCCAAAGGTGATAATCTTTACCATTGGATCTCCACCATTATTGGGCCTCAAGGTTATTTCCTCTACTTCACGCGACTTTTCTTGTCTTTTTTAGTATTGGGTTCTTGTTGCTTTTCTTGTTTTTGTTCTTAATCTTTATAAAGTCTCAACTTTGGTTTAACTGAGTCTGTCTTGATGCGTATGCTTTCTGAAAGCTCCATGTCTTGTTGCTGGTGAGCTTAATTTAGGCAAAGCTAGCTATTATTGATCATACTGTCTTTATTTCTTTCTAGTAATTTTATCGTTGTTTGTTTGGAATATAAGTAAGTTTCAACTTTTGATTCTAGATGTGAAATTGGAGATTATAACATTAACAGTCTTATATGATCATGTTCCTTAAACAGCCCTCTAGGTTGTGGTTGTTTGTTTTACTATTCTTCATCATACTGCGGTTCACTTTCAGTTTTGCTTATTGTTCCATGTTATAGGGTTTCATTCCTGTTATGCTTCGTATCTTTTGTAGGAACTCCATACCAAGGCGGGATATTTTTCCTCGACCTAATGTTTCCAAGTGATTATCCATTCGAACCTCCGAAGGTATGCACTCACATCCAATTAGTTGATTGCCATACATATATACATATCTGCTGAGTTTTTCATCTTCAACATGAGATTAATGGTTTATGCGGTTGCCTCTATTTCTAGGTTAGCTTACTTGAAAATTTATCATGAAATAGGAGTCAATGCTGTTTAAAAATTCAAGTTGAACCTCAACAGCACAAGTGTTTCATTTCTAACTCTACCAATGTACAAGGTGATGCCTAGTTGGGTTGCCAAAAAAAGCAGTTGTAGATCTTATTGTGTACTCCTCTGTGATAATTAGTCTATTGAAGGCCTGCATTTCTTGTGACATCAGAAGACAGCAAGTGATAAAATTTAGGATAGCTCATGAAGATGGCAATTTGAAGAATTAAAAGGAACTCCCGTTCTGGAATGTAATTATAGCAGTTCAATGCATCTTTGTGTATAGTTTACACCCATTTATCTAACAAAATATTTTCAAGCATCAAATATATTTGTGACATTGCCAAGGTATCATTAATAATATAATGAATTACCCTATTAGATTTTACCACCTTTGACTGCTAATTTATATATTTCCAGCCATTTCATCATTAGTTGAATCTGAGCAATATCAAGGAAGATTGAATTGAAATATAAACGCAACTGCTTGCGAGTATATTTTTGGTGATGGTGAAAGGAGTAACTTGCTTTGATGCTTCACTTTCTACATTCTGGCATTCTTTTATTTATATCATCATTTTACAGGTAGTATTCAAAACTCGTATCTACCATTGCAATGTTGATTCCACTGGCAACCTTAGTTTGGACATCCTGAAGGATAGTTGGAGTCCAGCTCTTACAATTACTAAAGTGCTACTTGCAATCAGATCAATTTTCACTCACCCTGATCTGTGTAATTTTTCTTGCCTTTTATAATATTCAATAATTTTTTATTTTTAGCATTGTTTTCCTGGTGCATTTTTGTGTTCTAGCTCTTACAACAACTTCTATTTTAATTGCAAGCAGATCGATTTTTACTTCCATACTAAAATGTATTTCTTTGTTCAATTTTGGTGACCATGGGAGTTTTGTTGGGAATGGGGAACGTCTTATGCAATCTTTTGGAACCACGGTCATACCTTTTTGTCAAAGAAAAAATTTTGTGTGCCATGTTCTTGTTGGAAGTTGTCACTTTCCGACTTCAATTACGCTGCGATGAACACCTCCCAATGGAAAACTAAGTTTTCATATTTTATTTGTACATTAAAAACTACGTGAAATCTGTTTTGCTATTTATATGTGACATTCCAGAGCCCACTTTCTCATTAACTATTATGATAGTTTACTAACGCTCGGGGATTCTCCTTATTGCAGATAATCCTCTTATCCCTAGCATTGCCTACTTGTACTCTGCAGATAGAGCAAAACATGATGAACTAGCTGCAGAGTGGACACTGCGATTTGCCAAGTGAATTTGATGAAAGAAATAAGCAATCTTCCAAACAGCAGGAGTTTCTTCTCTGCAACATGCAACTTATAAATTCTGCAGAACAGCTTGCTGGACAGTGGAGGTCTGAGCACCAGATTCTTGGTTGGCAACTTGCTCTTCTATTTGAAAGATTTGTAAATCTCTTGTAAATGAGCCATATATTGCAAATTGCTGAAGGTTATTAACTTTAAGGAATATGATTGTTAAAGATCTCTCTCCTCGGACTCGAAATGTGTGTATTCGGACCTATGTGAGATGTTTTCTCTTTGCGTCTATGCAGTTGATTGTGGAGGAGTTCCATTGATAATGTCCCTAAAAGTTGTTTGGTAGGTCCAAATTAAGAACATGCAATTACAAAATATGGTAGTGGAAAAGTAAATGTTGGTGTCTGAATGTTTTCTGAAGCATCCATTAATTTATAGTTTTAGAAAAAGATTTTGTAACAAAGTCACTTCATTTTAATCCAACTTTGATATATAACTTTCACAATTGTCATCAACAGCTAAGAAACAGTAACACTAGTGTCATCTTGTTTGTCTCCAATTCTTGATTTTCCAGAATCCAAAGAACCTTCTGTAAATGGAGTAAAAGCTTATCTATCCGTTGATGTGCAGCGCTTCCCAAGCAACATACTGTGGATGTGAACCTCTCTCAATCTGTCTTAACAAGCTCTTCTAGTTGCCTCGGATGCAAGCTATCAAACAGCCCATCAGTGCCAGCACCAATGACCTCCCCTACTTCAACTGGAGGTGTCATCACCTGCACTTGTAGCAGTTTTTAATTAGTTATGTTATAAATCACCATTATGATGAACCTATAAATTCAAGAAAGATAAACAACTTTTTTAATCTCGATGCTGTATTGCATTTAATTTTGGTTTCTGTACTTCTAAAACCTAAAAAATGTCCTTCGCAATCCAAGTTTAACCTGAAACGCTGCTACAATATAAACCCAGAATGGTACAAACAGATACAAATATAAATACAAATTAACATAAATTTGCCATACCTGTGCGCCACAAGGGGTTCTACTCTGTCATGATCCTGCAGCTGATAAGGGTAGTTGAAAGAATATTGCTGAATTGATGATTTGTATACATCTCCACCGTTTCTAATCAACATAAATCCACCATCTCCCATGTTCACTGTTGTCAAGCCCTAACCAAAAAAAAAAAAAAAACAAACAAAGACAAGCATATTACACACCAAAATTTTAATATTCAGAATTTATGAGGTTCAAGGAGATAAATAACATACATTGTCCTGATCTATTGTTAAAATGCAAGCGGTGGAGGATCCTTCAACTTTGGTTTTTGAATAAGCAGAATCCAGAACTCTTCTGGCTCACCAAAGACTACTGCAGTTTCAGCAATGCTCATGAAGTGTCTAGCAGATTCTCCTGCATATGTTTTGCACCAACCACCCACACCATCTGCCACACCAATTGTTTTCTTCTCTGAACAAATAAAACGCGCAACCATCTCCCTATAGCTTTCCAGGTTTTTCCATAAGAACATAGGATGATCCACAGAGACCATTGCCAATTTTCTCTTCTTTGAACTAGCCCTAAAGACAACAAAGAGAGAAAAAAATTGTAAGTCACCTGCTTAATAGTATTGAGTTATTAATGCATGTGATGCATTTGGAGTTAGAGTGGCATGTTAAATAAAAATAAGAGAAAAGAAAACAGAGAAAAAAACCAAGTACAATGGTTAGTCACATACCCATTAGTAATAATTTCTTCTTCGCCTTCAGGGCAGCCATGCTTGTTGCCAAGGAAGGAAGCCGCTTGGTGCGCATATGGCAATGAATAGAAAAGAAAGGGGTTTAATATATCCTGTCCTGTACTACGTTCTAAAATATTTTCACAATCTCTCTATCCAGATACCAATCTTATATTATCTCCGTTAATTTCTCCGTCAGTTTGGAAAGAAAGGCGATTTGGGTTTGCTAGGGGTTCACTTATGTCCAAATGCAAATTTATACCAGACATCTTGGTAAATGCAGTTAGGACTAATGTTTTTCTTTTTCTTTTTCTTTTTTTTTTTTAATTTTAAATGACTTTTAAATTATTATTAATTAATTTAACTTAAAAAAGTCAAAAAAACTGAATTAAAAAGAAATTATATTTTTATCCTTAAAATAATACGTGTTAACGTTGGATTAGTCAAACATTAGTCAACTAAAAAAATTAGTAAAACTAACAAAAAAATAATAATGAATAAACTGTTTTACACTAATGTCCAATGTCTAATAATATAAGGTTGATTATGAACTATATCTCAATAGAAATATTATAACAATATTTTTTATATAATACGAGAGCATGAAATGTATTAAGTTCGAAAAAAAAAAGAATGATAATTTCTTAAGACGTAAAAAACAATCAAAAGGATGAAAGGTTCGTATTATTTTGGGGCTAAAAGGCCAAACATATTCTAAATTTTAGTTCATTTGTAAATCAGTTTTTGAATTTTGAATTTGTATTTTAATTTTTTTTAAAGATTTATTCTATTTTATGATTTTCAATTGTCACCCCCTCCTTTCTAAAAAAATCAATTTTTGGTATTTTAATCTAAAGCTTTGCACACATATTAAGAAAAATTCAATCTATTTAAAAAAATCTAAATTTTTTTAAAGTCATTTATTTTTTTGAATATTAAAATATAAAAAATCAGAAAAAAATAATAAATAATTCAGAATTATCTCAAATGTTTTGGAAAGCTCTAGATAAATCTCACGGAATGATTTTTATTATGAGGTTATTTATATAATTGTTATTTTTTTTTATAAATGACAGAAAACTAAAGGATTAACTAAATCTCAAAAAGAAAAAAATTCAGAGAAATTAAAATACAAATTAAAGTTTAGAGATTGATTTTTCAATAAACTAGGCAGCTAGTTCCGAGTACAATTAGCACTTAAATAGAAATAAAAAATCGTTCTTTTATATGGATAATAGGTTTGGTCGGTTAATAAGTGGACTTGTTTGCTTAGGGTTCCATTTTAATAAAAGCTTCCTAAAAAAATCAATAAGTTCAGTTTTTGCTCTTGTACTTCTTAAAATACTCCCTTTTAAGCATAAAACTATCAATTTACCCCTCAATCATTTAATTTTACAAAAGAATTTTTTTAATTTAATCTCTAATATTCTTCTTTTTCTATGGTTATACTTTCCTTCCAAACCGACATTAGCATCTGGATTATCTCAAGAACACAATAATGCCCCTGTCTCTAACGAAACTTGAACTGGCCTTAACGGTTACGCACAAGCGAAAGGAAGAAAATCTACAGGAAAAGCAAATACTCCTTGCACTAAGACACTCGTGCTTAACAAACGAGTTAATCATAATTTCAGTTTATTAAATTTTTAATTTGTTCTAATTAAATGTGTCTTTTTTAATTTTTGTTGCATGAGTTTATCCAGTTGCAACTTTTTTAATCAAATATTTTCGTTAACTTTCATTAATTTTATGTTGATTTGGCCATTGATTACATACTTGACTTCGACATGTGAGCTCCATTGTAAGTTTTTTTTTCATACAAATTTATCGTTTTTTTTTTCTATTTGAGTATGTAAACTTTAATTTTTTTCTATTTACATGTACTAACTTGTAATTTTTTCTAATTGAACGATTTCATTAACTCTATGCTGATGTGTATGTTAATTATACACATAAAACCGTCATGTATATCGAATGTCAAGACACATGGCAATTAAAAACAAATCGAATGATTCCTTCTCATTTTCACATAGCAATAATAAAAATAAATAAATTACATAAAAACAATAAGATATTTACAATCTTTACATAAAAAATATTAAAAAAAAATAAATTGCTTAAATATATTCAAATGCAAGGAAATAATTGAAAATTAAAACATAAAAATTTAGTTGTGTACATTCACCAAGACAACGATCCATTCTCATTCTTAGTAGAAAAACTAAGAATGGAGGTTATTTGAAAGATGACAATATGAAATTGAGTTTTAATTTAGAGTGAAGGATGTCCTAAATCCGAGTTGGATAAGATGGATTGATTAAAAAAAAATTTAATTTAATTTTATATATTTATTGGTTGATTTTTTTATAGTAGTAATTTTTTAGACACGAACATTTAATAACAAGACTTACATTACAGTTTTATTTTATAGATGTAGTTAACGAATACATCAATTTTTAATTAGCAGAACCACTCAAATAAAAAAAATTGCAAGTTGATGGACTCAAATAGCGAAAATCAAAGTTTATACACTTAAATAAAAAAAATTGATAAGTTTGTATTAAAAAAAAAACTCACATATCGGTGCCACGTGTGTAGTTAAGATCATGTCGGTATAAAATTAACGAAACACTTGATTAGAGAAAAATTTGCAACTTGATCTACTCAAATTAAAAAAAAATTAAAGAACACATAATTGATTAGAAAAAATCGACAATTTAATAAACTGAAATTGTGATTAACTCTTTATCAAGCTGTGTAATTAATTACCTTTTATTGGAGTTTGTCATTAGCACTAAAAAGAGAGAGATTCTTTCCTAAAAAAAAAAAGGATAATTTTTAGGGTTTTGAAATTTTAATTGTTAAAGTACATAAACAAATTAACTCATGGAGAACTATAGGATGCAACTAATTGGTTTTTTCCTTGTTAAAAATTAATTTATTTTTACTTTTTTCAAAAAAAATCGTAAATGTATTAATTTGAGTATAGATGACCAAAAATTTTATATTATTTCATTAATTTATGGAGTAATTACTGATAGGTAGATGACTTGCTTAAAATTTTGATTAGTGATAAATCTTGCGTCTATGTGTGAAATTGAAGTTGAGAATACTTATAATGCTAAGAAAACAAATATATATGTGGGTGGATGTGTGTCAAAAATTGTAAGGCCAACAAATATGACAAGCAAGAATCCATGATATAATAAGCTAATCATTTTAATAGCTTAAAAAAAAAAAAATCTCACCGTATTTTCATTGCTGGCGGCCCCAATTTAAAAAACCCCTCCTGATGCATGATCCTATTTTAACTATTTCACAATTCACACCCTGGAACAGTCTCTCCTCTATAATAAATAAATAGACAATCCTTCGTCTTTACTTTTATCTTCAATTTAAAAAAAAAAAAAACACAAAATAAAGAGTGATGATAGGAGAACTAATTGGAGTGAGTGGTATTTAGTTTAAACTAAAAAATCGAATCGAATCGAATTGAAATATTAATATCAATTTAATTTTTAATTTAAAATTAAAAAAAAAAACGAATCCAAAAAATTTTGGTTTGGATTTTGAAATTTTGGGTTTGAGTCTCATTGAAAACCGATTTTTTAATATATATTTTGAATTTTTTATTATTATTTAAATCTTAGTAATTCAATTTACAATATATTTAAATAATCAATATTATTTTATTATTATATATTTTAGATAAAGATTAGTATACTTGTATTTTAGTTTTAATAACTAACTATATGGTATAGTTTTATGCTCTGATCTTATTTAAATAAATATTTGTTATATTTTATATAAGTTAAATTAGTCCATTTGAACTGAATGAAGGTCTCCATGGTCCATAACAAATTTTTTTGACCAATTTAATTATTTTTATTTTTATTTTTATTTTGGAAAAAAATCAGTTTTAATCCAAAAACACAATCTGATAAAACAAAATTTCAGTTTTAAAAATCAAAAAATCAAATAATAATTTGGTTTGGATTTTTTTTTTTTTTTTTTTTTTTTAGTTTCAGTTAATTAAAAACTGAATCAAAATATTAAAAACCAAACTGAAATAGCGGACTACCCCTCCTGGAAACTAATAATGGAGTACATAGAGAAAATGATGTGGAAAATTCTGAAAAAAAAAAAAACTTTTAAAAGTAGCGATGTTAATTTTATAAAAATCCTTCACCCAATTATCTGAAAATTTTCAAAACCATTGAACCTGTAAGATTCATTAACGAGATGTAATTATTAAATGAATAAGATTTTTAATTTAATAAATGATATTTTTTTCAGAATGAATTCAGAAAAATATCCCAGATCCCAGAAAAAAGTGATTTTTTAAATCGAAAGTCTTACCTTCCAAATGACAATGTTTTCCCAGAACTATGTAATCCATAAATATACGCATTCTTTTTCTTTTTGTTTTCCTAATTTAAAAATATGTCTGCATCTATCACAGATCGTCTTTCCTCTTTGCTTGGATTTTCGGGAAAAAATCATTGCATCCTAATGGATTTTCACGTCATTTCAGTGAGGCAAGTCACTTTTTTTTTATTTCTTAATTTTAATAAATTCTAGTGTTGAAATTAAATATTCGTAAATTAGTTTTGTTTTATGCTGCAAGTGGTTGGTCTGGTTTTTGGCTTTCTGTGCCCGTGATCAGGTAGGACTAGTACTAGTGTAATAAACACTAGCTTAACAAACATTCAAAGCAAAAGCAACAAATGTCAAGCAATGGCAGATGCCTTTTTCTTTCTCCTATTATTCCTCAAACTCTTCCTTTCCAACTCCAATCCAGTAGCAAATCCTCAGTTTCCATGCAAACCACCGAACCATAACTCCTACTCCTTCTGCGACAAATCCTTACCTATCACAGAAAGAGCTCAGTCTCTTATCTCTCACTTAACTCTCCAAGAAAAGATCCAACAACTCTCAGACAATGCCTCAGCGATCCCAAGACTTGGCATCCCACACTATGAATGGTGGTCTGAGTCTCTCCATGGAATTGCTATTAATGGCCCAGGTGTGTCCTTCAGCAATGGAGGAACGATTACTTCAGCCACTGTTTTCCCTCAAGTTATCGTCAGTGCTGCTGCTTTTAATAGGACTCTTTGGTTCTTGATTGGATCAGCTATTGCCATTGAGGCTAGAGCTATGTATAATGTTGGGCAAGCAGGGTTGACCTTCTGGGCACCTAATATTAACATTTTTAGGGACCCCAGATGGGGAAGAGGCCAAGAAACTCCTGGTGAGGATCCTATGGTGGCTTCTGCTTATGCTATTGAGTTTGTCAAGGGTTTCCAAGGAGGGAATTGGAAAAGTGGTGCTGAGAATGAGAGCGCTGGTAGACGTGAAATTGGACAGCAGAGGGTACTGTTACGAGAGGATGGTGAAAATAATAATGATGGGCTTATGCTCTCCGCTTGTTGCAAGCATTCCACTGCTTATGACTTGGAGAAATGGGGCAATTTCAGCAGATATTCATTCAATGCTGTGGTAAAGTTACTTTTTTTGTTCTTAATCCAATTCGTCAAATCATTTTAACTAGTTTTCTTAACTGTTAGTAGAAATTATAAAGTAAAAAATGACCCCAGCGAGACCTCCTTTGATAGTATTGTTAAATAGTTTCAAATGGGTTTCAGTTGGCTTGACTTAATTTGTAATTGTAAGTAGGTGATAAAGAAACGTTTTAACAGATTTAAGGTTGTTCCTTTGTAATCTATCACCGCCGGTATGGTGGAGCAATATTCGACAGTCAAGTTCACTTTTTTTACATATTAGTTTCAGTGTGCGACAAAGCATGATTTGTTGGTTTTTTGGCCCTTCTCAAAATGGATGTTAACCACAATCTCAAGTGGGTTTAATTGATTTATCATTCCTAATAGGTTACAGAACAAGATATGGAGGATACATATCAGCCTCCGTTTCGTAGTTGCATACAACAAGGTAAAGCAAGCTGCTTAATGTGTTCATATAATGCAGTTAATGGGGTGCCTGCTTGTGCAAGAGAGGATCTCTTACAAAAACCTAGGAAAGAATGGGCATTCAAGGGGTAAGAGATTTTAAGAGTTCTTTCTATACTATGCAATGGCAGAATCGAAATTCAGAATTTGATTGTTCGTGTTTTTGTGTGTCCTTGTGGAAAAACAGATACATCACCTCAGATTGTGATGCTGTGGCCACAATTTTTGAATCTCAAAACTACACCAAAAGCCCCGAGGATGCAGTTGCTGTTGCTCTTAAAGCAGGTATCTATAACTATGCTTCAAAAATCACAATATCTAGCAATAAATGAATACCAATCTTTGTCCAATTATATGGAGATGTTTATTTGTAGGAATAGATATTAATTGTGGAACATATGTGCTACGGAACGCTCAATCTGCTATCGAGAAGGGTAAGTTGCAAGAGAAGGATATAGACCGAGCTCTTCTCAATCTTTTTACGGTTCAACTCAGACTTGGGCTGTTTGACGGAGAACCCAGTAAAGGGCAGTTTGGAAAACTTGGACCTGAAAATGTCTGTACCAAAGAGCATAAGACACTAGCACTTGAAGCAGCAAGGCAGGGAATTGTGCTTCTGAAAAATGATAAGAAATTCCTGCCTTTGAATAAGAAAGCTGTTTCTTCCTTGGCTATTATTGGTCCACTGGCAAACAATGCAAGCAATTTGGGTGGTGACTATACAGGTATGACTTGCTGCACATAATATCTTATTCAATTCAAATTCTATGCTTTTTGGGTGGTAACGAAACAGTTATGACTTGCTGCACTTAATATCTTATTCAATTCAAATTCTATACTTTTGTGTGAATTAGTTTCATCAACTAAAAGTCAGATTAAGCATTGGCAAATTTTTACCAAAAACCATAGAACTTGAGTTAAAATGTTCCTTTCTATATGGACTGATTATCATGATATAAACAAACAATCCTTGTATTCGTAATTTCCAAATTAGTTGCAGAATCACACAGATAGCAAACCTCAAAATCCACTTACCTAAAGTAATTGCAGAGTTTTGTCAACATTGTAAAATTTCTGGAACTTCAACACCTATATATATTTATTAATTGATACATTTAATTTTGTAGGATATTCATGTGATCCACAGAGTCTTTTTGAGGGACTTAAAGCCTATGTAAAGGAGACTTCTTATGCCATCGGTTGCCCTGATGTAGCTTGTGATTCTGATACTCAGTTCCATAAAGCAATACTTGTTGCCAAAAGAGCTGATTTTGTAATTGTTGTTGCTGGGCTTGACTTATCACAAGAAAATGAAGATAATGACCGAGTTAGCCTTCTGTTACCTGGTAAACAGATGAGCCTTGTATCCTCTGTTGCAGTAGCAAGTAAAAAGCCAGTGATTCTAGTTCTTACTGGTGGAGGACCAGTTGATGTATCATTTGCCAAAGGAGATCCAAGAATTGCTAGCATTATTTGGATTGGGTACCCAGGTGAAACTGGTGCAAAAGCACTTGCAGAAGTCATCTTTGGAGAATATAATCCAGGTTCGGATGTGTAAAATCATCAAGTTCCAATTCACTTCCAAAAAAATCAATTTATCTTCCTGCATCTTTCTTCAACACTGCATCGAAAACTTCAATTTGTTGTAGGTGAGACAGTATAAATACGAAATCGTCTTTGTAAAAGCACAGAGGTCCATTATCAAACTCATTTTTTAGAATGGATTCTTTATCAGATTTTGAAAGGAAAGTAGGTTAGCGCTTACATATGAGAAGAATCAAAAACAGAATCCATTTGAAATGGCATACAATATTCTGATTTCAGGTGCCATCGAAAATGTATGAGATTGTTTGATTTCTCTGATACATAGAAAAAACAAAGCTTTTTTGTCCTAATCCAAAAGTTCTCATGTAGTGTCTTTATATCAAAATTTGCAGGTGGAAGACTGCCAATGACATGGTATCCTGAGTCGTTCACTGAGGTACCGATGAATAACATGAACATGCGAGCTAATCCTTCTCGTGGCTATCCAGGAAGAACCTATCGGTTTTACACTGGAAACCAAGTATATGGATTCGGTGGAGGCTTAAGCTACACTAATTTCACTTACAATATCTTGTCAGCACCAAGCAAGTTGAGTTTGTCAGGATCTTTGTCAGCAACATCGAGGAAGAGAATCCTGCAGCAGGGAGAAGGGTTAAGTTATATACATATCGACGAGATTACATCTTGCAATTTATTGCGATTCGGTATGAAAATTTCGGTCGAGAATGTGGGAGATATGGACGGAGGCCATGTGGTGATGTTGTTCTCTAGAGTGCCAAAAGTTTTCAGAGGCACTCCAGAAAAACAGCTAGTTGGATTTGATCGAGTGCATACTATTTCCTACCGATCTACTGAAACAAGCATCTTGGTAGATCCTTGTGAGCATCTTAGCATTGCAAACGAGCATGGAAAACGGATAATGTTGTTGGGTGACCATGTACTAATCTTAGGAGATTTGGAGCATTTTGTTACAATTCAAATTTAGTGATTCCAACCATGTTTCAAAAGACCACTGCTTTTCAGCACAAATTTGTTTTTGAAAAAAGCTTGCACATTGTTCCCATTATTGAGCTTGTAGAGGTTTCGGAAAATGACAGATATGGTAAGAAGTCCTTGCATCTGAGAGCATATAGGATATTATAAGAGTAAATTATAAATAGTCCCTTGTTTTGAGAAACGAATTATTAGTCCCCTTGTTTCAAAAAATAATTATTTAGTCTCTTATTTCTAAATTTTTATCAGGTCTGTTAAATTAATACTTAATAGCTAAAGTATCTTTTAATATATGTATATACTCATTCATGGGAATATGTTTTGGTGCTTGAAAAAAGAAAAAAATAAAAATTAATAAAATGAGAACCAAAGATTTGACAAAGATAGAAATTTGTTTTGGTGTTTGAGAAAAAAAGAAAGAAAGAGATGCGTATGAAAGAAAAAATAATGTATGAAAGAAAGTGCAATTTGATAATAAAAAAATACTATAATAAGAACATCTCATTACTAATAAAACGAAAAATTAACCAAAAAAAAAAAAAAAAACTAAATTATTGACTAAATTAAAATATAAAAAATTAAATGATTAATTTTTGAAATAAAATAGACTAATAAGTTGTTTTTCAAAATGAGAATAATTAATTTATAATTTACTAGATATTATAACAAGATCAGGTCCTTTTGGAAGGAAGGGGGTTGATTATTGTGCAAGGACTGTTAGTAATACTCTTTGTAGACGAATTGGGGTGCTAGATGAGTATTAGGGTATTATTATTCCAGTGCCAGGAGGCTTAGGACTTCATCCATTAAGTTTTGAGAGACAAAGGTCATCCAAAACATTTTAGCATTAGTTGTTACTTTCAGTATTCATGAAATAGCGGTACGTAGCCGTTGAAGCAACTCTTGCTACTTTAATATTTGGCTAACAAGTGCCAAAAATGCTCATTAAATTATTTCTTGATTGGATTTTAAACAGACCATTCATATTTTAATTGATGTACTTATCAAAAAAAAAGAAATAGAAAATTATCATTTTCATCAACTAAAAATTTGATTTTTGAACGTTAAAGTCGAATAAACTGACATTTATCCATCCGAAGCTTTCAAGTTTCAGTACACATTATTAATAATGAGGTTTTTTTTTCCCAAGGCCTCAACCAAAACAAGTTATCAAAAAGAGAAAAACAAACCTTAAAGAACCATCAAAAGTCAAAAGTAACAAGAAGGAACCGTAAAAGCATGGGGATATGCTTTTACATTATGACTCTTTACGTTGCTTATCTACACAACACTTCCTAGCATAAGAATTTTTTTAAGTAAAAAAAAACGAAAAGCCTTATGGAGTAGTAATGCTTAGTTTGCATCTAAGACAATCAAGGCATTTAGTTCACTAATATTCCTACCTTCAATTCAAGAAAAAAGAGCACAGGATTCGACTCAAATCCTCTCTTTGCTACCGAAGAAGAAATGGACGGACTAATGCTCAATGTGGAACCCTGAATACATTAGAGAGGGCTGGCTTCCAAGAACTCTTGCCACGCCGAGGCGTCAAACTCGCTGAGCTTGCGGCCATTCTCATCTTCTCAATCAAGGCCTCGGTATTCACTTGTTCAGACAAAATTTCTTCTAATTGCTTGGTGTTGATCGCCAACTTCACTCTCCAAACCCCGTCCCCTAGCGCAGGCAGGACCTCGAGACCCGGTCCGGTCGCTAAGTCCTCTACATAATCCATCGCTGCTGTACTAGATGACACCTTTGGAGGCTCAATCTCATTAATCCACTCCATAGCCACCTTCTTCTTGGCCAACCCCATGCCGTGAACTTGACTAGTAACTTTAGTGTCACGTAATTTCTGCTCATTTTGAAGTGGAAGAAGATAGTAAAATTGCCCGCCAAGTAGGTACTCGTGGGTAGACAATGGAGATGAAGCATGACCCTGCCTAAAAATGCTGTAACCGGGATATTCATTAAGGACATCTTTGGCTAACTTAGGACCCTTGAACTCTACAATACCCCCATAATCTGTTAGAACCCTGATGTTGTTAGGACTTTCTTCCATAACCCCTTTGAGAGAACAATTTCCCATTACTACAATTTTGTTACATCACCACGAGTCACTAACGCACAAGGTCTAGTTCATATATAGAAATCGAGGAATCTAAGCATAAACAAGTGGGGCGACAATGAAGAGACGTCCGAAGAGACAATGCAGAGTTGCTTTATTCAAAAAATTTGATCGGTTCCATGTGATATTAGACCGTTGATAGGATTATTTAAGCATATAAGTTACGAGTCGATCCAAGGCAAAACAATAGAATATTCAAGGTAGAATGGTAGGTTAAAATAATAGCAGGAAGAAACGACATTTAGTCCAAGGGGTACGAATTTACCTTCGGTGATTGATTCCTTCATCACAACAGCATGCATTATAGTCTCAATTTGAGACTCTCAAAAAACTCCGTGACAAAATGCTGTCTTTTCGATATGATTTGGGACAAAATGATGCATGCTCCAGCTCCACAGCAAAATTCTAACAATTGGTTTTTGAGCTGATGATTTCCTATGTACATGTATTCCTTTTATTATTAAAATATCTTTAGAATATTTTTGTACCTTATATTATTATTATTATTATTATTATTATATCACGTCAGCTAGTTTTAATAACGCTGTTAAAATTTGGAACGTGATGTACATTTTGGTTCCTAAATTTTTGAAATTTTTACTTTAATCTCTTTATTTTATTTTCTTCCAAATAAATCTTTAATTAAAAAATTTTTCATCATTTCTTACAATAAATACAATTTAGTCCTAAATAATTTTTGTTTCAATTAAATCATTACATGTCAAATCATAAACTTGGACAAAATTCTCATATTAAATGTATGATATTATATAAAACAAATTTTTAATAAAATCACCATAATTAAAAAATAATAGCATCAATTCAATCAAATAAAAATTATCAAGAAGTTCAAGAATTGAATTATTATTTTGAGATAAAATTTATTTTCTGATTTTTCAACATGTTATAATTTTGTTGTGTGAAAATAGATTGATTAACTTGTATGTGGTGTAAGAGATTAAATATATATATATATATATATATATATATATATATATATATATATATATATATTGTAAGAATTTTTTTTAAAAAAATTCGTTTTAAGTATTCAATTATTATTATTAAGTTATAAAAAATATATTTAAAATAAAATAATCTGAGAAAAGAAATTCAAAATACATGCTTAGATTCTTCTTCCATTAGTACCATAACTAGCTAGTAGCATTATTCTTTTCCAAATCTAGTACTCTTAAAAGTATTGGATTATACATGAGCCTATCTAACCTGAAGCCCAAGAATCTTATATATATACTCAAAGCAATTTTGGAGCTTGAATCTAGTAAGACAGCCCTGGGCTAGGACATAAACAGTCCACAAAAATGAAAAAAAAATAATAATAATAATAATTGAAAACGAAAACTGAAAGCCAAGACAGCCAAGTAAAACTAAATATGCACAAATATCCCAATTGTCTTATACTCTCACAAAACGCATTATCACATTGTCCAACCAGCTGTCGTTCTGAGATACATCCCCATCGCATTTCCTATGTGGCACTCATCTAAACCACGCATCAATTCTGAGGCTAAGGACCAAAATCCCACAAAAATTTTGTTAAACCCATACTTGTCTAATCCAATTCCAATTGCAGCTGAACGTAATAATTAGACCAAAGCCTCCACTCAAGCCACACAAACATTATTCCACGTTACGACCATATAAACACTGACCCCAATTCTCCGTTACACGTTACACTTCGAACCACTACATATTGTCCTTGAACATCCAAAGGACGCTTCTTCCAATCACACACAAGAAAAAATGGGGTGCAATTCTTCAAAAAGAATTGAAGCAACTGCAGATGTCTACCGTCCACCGCCTTCAAGCGTTGCAGTATTTGACATCAACTCAATTCAAGAACCATGGCTTGTCGTCGACAATTCAGTTCAAGAAAAGCCATCGAACGTGCCAGCTCCGATACTAGAGAAACTCAACAATTTTGAAGCTGATGCTCCTCATTCTTGGGATGAGGTTAGTAAAGCACTTGAAGACCTTAAGCCTACACTTAATAACAAAACGCCTGTTGCCCCACCAGCAGCAGCTCCACCACATAGGCCTGATACCACAGCAGCTCAAGTTGCTAAAACCAACCAAGAAAAGAAGCAAGAACCAAGGGAGAGTGCTTCTATCCATACCCTTGAAGAGTTGGAAGCAAAACTAGCTCCGAAGCCTGAAAATGAGTTGAAGAAAACAGAACCCATTAGGACCCAGTTGAGGAAAGTCGAGGGTGTCAGCAAGCCCGAGTCAGCAGTTGGGACCGAGTCGGTAACCGAGTCATCTGCTGCTGCTGCTGCTGCTGGTGGTGTTGGCAGGTCGGTGAAGGAGAATATCTTCATACTGAGGGATAGGTTAGAGAGGGAAAAGCAAGGGAAGCCTGTGAAGAAGTTGGACCTACTGAGTGGATTCGAAGAGAAGTGTCCACCAGGTGGAGCTGACTCAGTCGTGCTTTACACGACGTCATTACGCGGGGTGCGTAGGACATTTGAGGACTGTACCCATGTCAGGGCCATATTTGAGCTGCAACATGTAGTGTTTGATGAGAGGGACGTGTCGTTGCATGGTGAGTTTTTGAACGAGTTGAGGGATTTGGTAGGGGAAGGAGTGAGTGTGCCTAGGGTTTTTATGAAGGGAAGGTACATAGGAGGAGTTGATGAGGTTGTTGAGTTGAATGAGTCAGGTCGACTCGGGAGGATACTGGTATGGGCACGTGTGGAACGAGTCGAGGGAAGGCAAGCGTGCGAAGGATGTGGGGATGCTAGGTTTGTGCCTTGTTTGGAATGTGGTGGGAGTTGTAAGGTTTTGGTTGATGGGGTCAAGGAAAGGTGTGGAAAGTGTAATGAGAATGGGTTGGTTCGTTGCCCAACTTGTCATTAATGGTGTTTTCGTTTTTCTTTTTTCTATATGGTGTTTTCCGGTCAACTTGCTTGGTGTATATCGAGATTAAATTCCTCTTTTAAAGGCAAGTTATCCATCATGAAAGTAAAGGATTCATAATTACATGTGTTTTCAGACCGTTTTTAGTGATGTTTGTGTGATCATCTTTTGCTACTATGAATTTGGTGTGAGGCAAAAAGATGGGTCGGGAGTGGTGAGTGGGCGAGTGGCGGCGGCAGTGGTGGTGCTGCTTTTTAAGTTTGTAATGGATGTGTTTCATGATTGTTGAGTTTTGAAATTTGATTTATACAAGTAGAGATAAAGAGACTGTAAATTAACGAACAAAGTTGTTGGTTTAGCATTAATGGAGCTGGTCTCTCAGTTTTTTTTTTTTTTTTTTTTTCCTTCCTTCTTGTTGATTGTATATTGTTTGAATTTAAGAAATGTATTTGTTGGGAGAAGTTATGTATTATTATTTTTTACTCGAATTTGATTAGTCTTTTCTATATATAAATACTTAAGAAAAAATGGGTTTTTTCAATTTTTTTGGTCATTTATTCCTCCAATAACTAAAAAAAATTATGATAATACTAATAACTTATTGATCAAATGATAAACGAAATCGTTTTTAAACGAATTTTCTGTAAATGTATAAATTTTGAATTTTGAAGTCGTATTTTGTTTGAAGAGAATAAATCTTATTATTGTTATTATAAATATAATTAGTCATATTTTTAATGTAAATATTTGAATAAAATTAAAAAAATGGTTTAATTTAATCGATTGACTACAAGGGTTCAGCAACAACATGGTAGAATCCCTTATATTTTGGAGCGCTGATCACTCATCAAGTTGATTGTGATTTGTGGGAATCCCCTCAATCAAGGTCTCTTTTCTTGAATTAGGTCTGGACAATGAGAAAGTTAGCTTTGGGTCTAAGATGGGTGTAATCAGAGTATTTGATTTACACGCATCTAATCAAAGTCAAACACAAATAGGCCTACAATTGGATAGTCTGCCACACTGCCAGCTTTAAACCCAAACCCAAACCCAAACCCAAATGCAATCTTTGATTTGTTATTTATTATTAGGACTCGCTGTTTCTGTTTAATTATCCTCAAGTGCCAACGATTATTCTGAAGTAATTGGCTCATATAATTGCCTGCCTTAGCGTGAACCTCACTTCCAATTCTCTGCTCGGATTAGAATTAATTAATAATTATTGGTTAACAGGCCTCAATCATCATTACTTACGTGCCTTTCCGACAATTAACATTCATTGGTCCGTTCTAATGGTGGCACCAGGTTGAAAGATATATTTGTATAAATAAAATTGAATGATAGTTACCTACTGTTAGTGTGTGTGTATATATATATATATATATTAACTCTTTTTGCTGTAAAAAAAAAAAAGATTTTAACTCTTTTTCATAAAAAGAAAATACCCATGAATTACAATTTAATTACTTTATTTATTTCAAACATATTGTCATATTTAATGTTTAACAAACTTATAAAAAATGTCATGTTGTCTTCTTCTTTTTTATCTATATTTTTTTAAAAAACAAACTGGTTACAAATGAGTTTTAATTAGAGATATTGTAGTAAAATTCATGATTTAAATGTTTAACATTGTAATCATTTTGAGACAAATGGTGAAAAACAAACAAACAGGACAATCTTTAAAACGTAGAAGGTATTTAACTTGGTTGATAAGTGAATTTTTGTATATTATAATTGAAATTAAATCACGTGAAAGGTACGAGAAAAAGAATTTCAAAATGTAAAAAAAGAATAATAAATATAAAAAAATGTAAATATATCAATTTAGATGTGAATGGTCTCAATAAGAAATAATAATAATATTGGATATACAAATACTAAACCTAGCATCCACTAACTCAAATTGTAAAACCAAAAGCAAGTCAGTTTTGCAAATACAAAAAACATTGGTTTCGAGTAATAATAGCTCAAGAAATTCAGCAGTTCTAATAATATTTAGATCGATCAAGATATATATCTGTAAAGTCCAACTTTTGAATATGTGCAATTATTTGGCTCAAATAATCACGCAACCCTTTGAGGGAGTCCACGTATATATATATATATATATATATATTTTCCCTTTCCTTTCACTTGTTTGCTTATTCATATAATTTGGGCGAAGAATCTGTCCACAAGATGATGTTGGCACATTTTGAATTTGTGGTAGGTGAAGACTATGGAGAGTTGAAAAAGATGGTGGAGCACCCAATCTTTGATTTGAGTTCAAGCTCAATGACTGATAGCCCAACTGCCATTCAAAATGCTACCTTTCTTTGAGTGGTAAAATAAAAGCTTTCAAGTAGGTGATCCAATCACCCTTATCAATTACCGACCCATTTTCGTATGTTTTGATTCTAACCATTGAGCTTTATTTTATTTTTTGGACATCATGTAATCATCATGGGACTCTTAGGGTTTTGGTTTTCGCTAACAAAAGGAAGGAAAAGGTCACCATCTCCCGTTACTCCTACGTATTTTCAGTCTTTTTCTTTAGAGTTAATTTTCCCTTTAGGCAAATCATTTATATCCATTTCAAAATCTAAACACTAATAACATGAAAATCAAATCGATTAACCAGCACTTCGCAGCAGTTCAAATCTATAGCAAACGTAGGATTTGATGCATTTGAAAAAATCTCTCACAATCAACGTTGAGTTTCAGAGGGCATTTAAGGATGATACGATGGAAAGACAGCATCCACCAAAGTTATTATTCAGACGAGAAAGAACCATGGGTTAAGAGCTCAAAATCAAAATCATCTCATTCTTTAATACAACCATTTATTTCCACTGCTTCTTATGCAAATGGAAATGGAAAAACATTCAAACAACAAAACATCCTTAATTCACTTCATTACAACAATTTATAAATAGAATTCCCATATATGCTGTCTGTAGTGATTTATTTATATGCCAAACCAGAGGGCAAAACACCCTACATACAAAAAGATTATACATCAAACAGGCCTTATGAAATGTTCAGCCCCCATAATTCCTCACCAAACTCTCCTTAAAACTTCAATATATTGAAGCCAAACAACTATTCTTTGTCTTCTATTCTGTTGTCGTCTCTTTTTACTTTGTGTGTATCTGTATGCCTATATAGAATCTTGTTTTCAAGGGTCTTGTTCTTCAAAGATGTCCAAGAGAGAGAGGGCCTGAAAATCCAACAGAAACATGGTTAAGAACAAAGTTTTGTTTGAAGGAAATGCAATGAATATTCACAAATACACCATGCAAGATTCATTTTGATCAAAGTGAGAGTGAAATTACCTCTGGTATGTTGAGTTCAAGGCGGAACTTAGGGCCATCGTAATGGTGAAGAATTGGCCGGAAAGAATCCTCTTCCAGTGGCTCACAGATTTTCCTTGTCATAACTCTCACCTATACAAAACAGAAGCATTAAACCCACAATGATTCACTATAAGGAGTGACATTAAATTACAAGCAGATATTTATCCGATTAATAACCAGCAGATTTCTGATATATACCTGAGCAGGGAAGCGTGATTCGCCAAGACATTTCTTGTCTTCCCAGGCTGACGGATCAATGTTTGTTCCTCCAAAACTTGCAGCCTATACATACCAACAAAGACCTCTTTAGTTTATCTACAAGCAATGCTACATCTTTCGCAAAAATAACCATAAGCCAACGACATGCGAAAACTGATAAATTTTTATGCAAAGAAGAGGTCGAAATTGAGAAAACAAACCTCAAAAACTCCATGGAGTTGGTGGGTGGAGTAGTTGTAGAGGAAAAGAGGCAATCCTGGCGTGATCTGCCTCACTGAATCGCGGTATCGAGGAGGCAAACCTACAAAAATTCAAGCAAGATCAACAAAACTCATTTCAAAGATGATCAAATGAATAAAAAAAGAAATAGTGAGAGATTTATCAATAAATTCAACTTGGTTCAAATAACCATTAAGTAATGAAATTATTTCTTATTATTTTGTAGAACAGATCAAATTATGCTTCTCGTGAGTATTAATAAACCAGATGGCTAATTAGTTTGTAGAACAGATCAAATTATGCTTCTCATGAGTACAAACCAGATTGTTAAAAAAAAAACCACAAATTTAGCACCTGAAATGAAGTACGGCACAATATTTCCCAACTACAAAAAGCTGTTTTTGCATCTAAAAACCTAGACTAGTCTTTCCATGATATTACAATCCATGACCTGTTAAGATCGAATCTTAAAAAGACCAGAACTTTGTAAAGGCAGAAAACTAAATGAACAAAACATAGGTAAAACAGAAACAAGAAGAAATGAAATTTGACAAACTTACCAAACAGCTCTCTCTTGAGATTCTCTGCCATGGTATCATTGTTGCAGACAAAGATATATCCACCAATTGTTTCATACCTAGGCAAAGACTCAGACGGTGGTAGCGTCTTAAACCTCTTATCAGAAGCACTCTTACTATCATTATTATCATTACTCTTCTTGTTGCTATTCTTTTTGCCACTCTTGCTTCCCAAATCATCATCTCCTTTGTTCTTGTTACCCTTCACACTAACATTAAGGTTATTGTTATGGATGTTATTGTTCTTTGAGTAGATCCCTTTATTGAAACCTCCATTGATCCCAATATTTTTTGAGATCCACCAAAAACTTGACCAATAGGTCCGATTGGACCAACCCCATAATTGTTAGTACTAGACCCCATCTTCCATCCATCATTGAACGCATTCAAATCAGATCCTTTTGGCTTCAGATTGTATCCATCATTGAACGCATTCAAATCAGATCCCTTTGGCTTCAGATTGTATCCATCATTGAACGCATTCAAGTTAGATCCTTTTGGCTTCAAATCATTGGCAGGATTCCACCCTTCATTGAGTAGATTGAAGTTAGGCCCTTTGGGCTTCAGATCATTAACTGAGTTCCATCCATCGTTGAAAAGATTCAAATCAGAACCCTTTCGCTTAAAATCACTAATAGGATTCCATCCATCATTGAAACTATTCAAATCAGACCCTTTCTGCTTCAAATTGTTAACTTCACCACCAACTCTGATATCGAAATTCTTCCTTTCATCTGGTCTCTTCGACCCATAAGAATTGCTCCATATTGAATCGTTGAGTGACAGGTTGGCTAAATTTGATGCCTGTATCCTCAGCTGATCACTGAACTGATAAAATGATTGCTGGTTATTCTCCATTTCCAACTTTAATTCCCTTCAAAACCAATCAAAAACAATAAAAAGGCAACTGGGTTTTCAAGATATGATAGAAATATAAGTTTTGAGTATAAAAATTATGGTGTAAAAAACAGGAGAGAGAACAGGGTAGAAAACAGAGGAAGTTAAAGGTTTGGTTTCTGATAGAGTTGGTGAGAAAGGAAGTATTAATAGGTGAAGATTAGATTAAAAGTGTGGAAATTTCCACGAAATTGTAAAAACTTGAGACTTTCAAGATTGCGTGTAGATTTGTCAAGGAGGAAAGTTACAAAAGATTTGTGAATTTAATTAGTCATAGTAGATTGTGGACTAAATTAATGTGGTAGCAAATTAAGTATATCGCAAAAAGGGTTTTATTATTTGTGTTTATAAATGGAATGGTAAATCTGCACTGATAGATAAATTTTATAATATTTAAGAAGTAAATGATAGACATATATATATATATATATATATATAAAATAAGTACTGTGTATATTCATTAATTATTCTTTTATGTATTATAAAATTTTTCATGTTGGTTTGCTAAAATAGAGATGTTACATTAAGATATTAAATATGTTTTTTATACACTATTAAAAAGAAAAAAAATATCTTTGTTATTTTCGTGAATGTTTATGTCTAGTTGTAAAAATTTGCTTAAATTATGTAGTTTAATCTTAAATTATAAATTATTATTATACTATTTGTACATGAAAGCATCTACCCGATTATAAATATTTATTTAAGATATATTTAAAAAATTGTTACGAATAAATTACTGAGTTAATTATGAATTAATCCTTCTATTTTTTTCAAAATAAATTAAATAATTTCTTTAGTTTTAAAAAAAATTAATTAATTCCTATGTTTTTAAATTTATTTGTAACTTATTTTTTTTCAATTTACTTTATTTTTTGTTTTTTTAAAAAAAGAAAATAAGCAAAAAAATCAAAAGATTAATGAAAAAAAAAAGATTTTTTTTGGAGTTAAGCAATACTCTCTGTCCACACAGATTTTGTTTTTTTACTTTTCACATATTTTTAAAAAAAATGATTAATTATTATTACATATCAATTTTTTTTTTTTACGTTTCAAAAAAAATTGTTTAGTTATCAAATTTAATCTTATATTGCATGGAAGCAATATTAATTTAAGGAGAAAATCTATCTAAAATTAAGATAGTAAATCAAAAAAAATTATTAAGTTAATTAACTATTAATTTTAAATCAATAATAAAAAAATGACATATTAATAAAAATATCTTTACTCTTAGAATCTCAACACGCAATAAAGTTTTTTAAAAAATAAATGTTTTTTATGTAACAAAAAATAAATAAAATTTTGTTAAAGATATTTATATATACAAGAAAAAAATACATAAAATATTGATTTTTTTTTATAATGAAAAATATAAATAGAAGAAAAATTTATTTTTTTATCAATTAAAAATATTTTAAGGAAATATATTATTTAAAATTTTGATCATATAAGTATTTTGGTCAGATATAAATAAACACAATATCTTTTTTTTTTTAAGGGAAAAGAGTGTCAAACTAATTACTGTTAATATTAATTAAAAACTAATTATTAATTTTTAAAACTATAATAATTATTTAATTTTTTTTTGTAAAATTAAAGAGAATAATTTATAATTTATTCATAAACTAGTAGATCCGCCTTTTAAAATCAAAAGAATCGCTCATACTTCCCTTCTATAGTTCTACCTCCCCCTGTAGCTTCCATTGGGATAATAGTTCGCAGAGTTTTCAAAAAATAATTATTTACGATTAATAATTATTGTTTTTTAGTTTTGTAGTTGAGCAAACGCGGTTTTGAAGTGGGGTAGGGGGTGAGGTGGAGGAAGGAGAAAGAGAGTGAAGGGATGGGAGTTGATTTTTTGGGCCATTTCTAGAAGGTCGTTTTCTACTCGATCGTTGGCTATCCTGTACAAGATTTAGTTCACACTTGGGAGTTTTGGAAACTTGTCTTTGCTTAGGTGCTAAGGCTTGAAAGAGAGAGAGAGATGATTCAGGCATACGCGTTAAGGTCCTTATAGGACAGGAATAGGATTAGAAAACTATTGAGCTTGTGAGTTGGATTATCGGATAGTTAGGACTTAGGACACACGTGAAGCTTGGGAGCTTTACACTTGTGTCGACAATGGCTTTGGGGATGATGGACCTATTCTGATGCCCGACGACTTTAATGTGCTAACATGAGGCATCCCATGAACCGCTCAAACAAATTTGCTTACGGAAGATGATGTCCCCCCATTATCTGAATGAAGTGTGCTTTTTGGGTGCAAACGTCTGATCTTAAACTCGAATTATCTTTATGAACAAGAATAATAGGAAGCACAATGATGCGGGATTAAGAAATTGCAAACAGAAGCCACCCAAAAATTAGAGTGTACTTCAAAGTTATTTCATAAAAACCTTACCTTCTTTATATACCATTGTCTCTTTTAACCCAAAAAATAAAATAAATAAATAAAATAAAAGATATTTTAGGTTATATGTAATTTTTGTGCATAAATAATTTTTACATCTTAATTTATTTATCAGCTTTCATAACCTTAAACAATGGCGTAAATATGTCATCTTTCAAAAAACAACAACAATAATAATAATAAATAACATGACTTGTATCTAAAATTTTTAAATTGAACCAGCATTCTGTTTCCCACTTTTAACTAATTTGGAATTGAATTTGAGACGTGCAATAATGCTCAAGTGCAGAAGGTCAAGCTCCCCTCTAACCTAATTGGCCAATTTCAGGAAGTTTTGGCACTACTTCTAGTAAAAGATGGAACTCCCAAGTTCAAATCTTGACATTTCTAGGTGTACAGAAGTCGGATGATCACATGATAAGAATCTACAAAACATGTGGTGAAGATAAATAGGGTTGACCTGAAGCAGTGCGTGGCTTTGGCATTTACATCCTTTTTCTAGAATGGGAAATCGTTGGACCAATCGTCTCTATAAAAGGAGATCAGACTCATTCACGTTGAAATACTCTGATGCAGTCCACCGTTTCACCAATTCTTCAGAACAATAGACCACGTTCTCTTATTCACCTTCTATGGATATGGCTTCAGCGGTGAGACTTGCTCGGTTCTAGGCTTCGAATTCCCCTTCCCTAACCCCACCCCACCCCGGGTAATGGCTAGTTACAAAGTATCAAGGCATTGTTATGGGAATTTACTAGATTAATAATAAGAATGTGTTTTTATAATATTTAATAGTGATTCATACATAAATTCATATGAAAATATCTACTAAAAATTACATATTGAAAAATATCTAGATCGATTGAAAAAGAAAAAAAATCAAAATATCACGGGTGACTCTAGTGAAGGTAAAATTATATAAATATTTGAAATTATAGATTGATATTTATACATAATATTATTTTTTTTTTCAAATGAGAAACTATTTGGGTAAATCTTATATTAACCGAAGACTCGCTCACATTGAAAAACCTCTTTTGACTCCTACCGAGTTGCCAATATATTTAAAGTTCTTAATAAATAAATTAGAGATTCAATATAAAGGAATTGACATAGCAATCCATACCAAACTATGAAAATATAAAATTGCATAAATATTTTGCTTTTAGCACAAACAACCTCTTTTTAATTAGACTAAAGACAACTGGTTTAGTTTTCATATAAAAAAACTAATTTGAAAATTCCACCTTGCTATCAAAGGGAAAAAAAGACATTGAGTGGTGCTATTTATAATATTTGAAGAATGCATATAAATCTTTAGATTAATGAAATTCATAATTGGATCCTAAGTTAAGGTCACGATACAATAACTAAAACTTTTGTTGAAACTTATTATTATTGTAATCATCCTATTTTTACCCCACAAATAATAATAATAATAAGAAGAAGAAGAAGAAGAAAAGGAGGTTGGACAATCGAGTGAGGGTTGAGCCTCGTTATAGGCCCAAGCTAACACCGAGCTAGGCGAGCTAAGCCCGAGCACGCCGAGCTACTAACGGCCAAACAACAAAAGCCAACATAGCGACCACAAATACGAGTTGTCGCTCACTCGTTTGTCAATCACCATGCATCATGCACTAGACCGACTAAATAGTCCAAACAAGACAATTCCGAGCATAGCAAGAACGAAGTCATTTCGACCATCAAGCAAAGCTTATGGGTAGCTTCTTTGCGACAACCTTCTTGGTGAATGTTGATCCGAGTTTAGTCTTTGAACTTTTGATTTTGATAATTATACCCATGCATCTTCAATTTATTTTGGTTTAATTTTCATCTAATTTTTATGTTGGATGATTATTTTTTAAATCCATGTGCAAATGATGTTATTTATGTAATCAACATAATACCTGGATGAGGGATTGAATTAAAATTATTTAATTTTAGGGCCTAATTGAAAAGATTCAAATTTGAAATTTCTTAATATTCATTGACATATTTAAAAAGTTTTAAATTTGAATCTATTGTTAGTTATGTGTGTTTAAGATTAAATTTTATAAGGTAGGATTATTTTTCTTTTATTTATCTATTTTTCCTATATACTTATTGTTACTATTAATTTATTAAAAAAAAATAAGGGATAAAGGGGTAGACTTAATATTTAATATTATTTATAGTTTTTTTTTGTATAAAAAGTCATTGAGGAATTGTTGGTCAATGATGAAGCTAGCAATAGGCTAGCATTTTTTTCTTATGATGGAAAAATAAAATAGACCAATATAAATTAAAAATGCCAAGGATCTTGTGCAAGCTAATTGACTATTTGATTGTCCATGGAGTCATTTTTACATGATTTATAGTCTTTGCGTGTTTAATTTGATTATGTTTTATACTCGTATTTTATTTATTGTATTATCGGTCTAGATAAAATAAGTTTAGAATCCGAAAGCAATTTTATTCCAATGAAAAGCTCTTATTATTATAATTATTATCATTTTTTATTTAATTTCCATGTGTCTTAAGCTTTAATTTTTACCTTCCTATATCGACTTCAACGGTCCAATAACAATTTAGGGGTGACACTAAACCTTATTTCTATCTCTAAATCACCTCCTTTAGGTTTGGTTAGAAAAAACCTAATAATCAACTTGTAAATTATGATAGAAAAATGGACGCCTAATTGGACTTTGTATGAAGAAAATCCTAAGACTAAAATTGAATGGTAATCTCATTAAGAAGGCATATTAGGGTGACTTGTTGTCTTCCCTAAATATGTAATCAACCTGCTTAGCTAGAATTCTAAGGAGCGAGTTTGGTATTTTTTTTAGTTTTCACCTATAAAAAAACTTATTTTTGACTTTACTATTCATATATTTTATTCTTGCGATTGTTGAGAGGTCATCGTGTGACGGAATGGTGACTCCACTAGAATTAAGGAGCTAAACCATAGTTTTTTTTTCTTTGGAAATTATATATGTTGTTTCATGCAATGTATATGTTGAATATCTTTTCTATTCTATTCCATGGTTGTTTTATTTTGCTTTGTTGTTGTATAGTGCTTTGCTTTGGTTTTTAGGTTGGGTGTGAGATTTTTATTATTCTCCCAAACACACACCACTAACACATGATACCCACACACCTTTATCATCTCTATACTCGGATCCTTAGTTAAGACTAGATAAGGAATATCTTAGGGTACGCATGGCCTTATGGCTCGTAACTATTCCTAAGGTCTTCCGCTCATATTGGAACTCGTCCTTTGCACATAAGCTCTTGTGGGATTTAATATCCTCTATGGTTAGTGCATATAAGTGGGATCGAGTTGCCCCATTAATGACTTGAATAATCTGGGGGCTTTTTAAAAAAGCTTTTAAGATTAAACAACCTTGTCCAAGTTACACTCAATGACTTATAGTCTATCCTATAGGTGCACTTGTATAAGACAAAGAGAGATTTATTAATGCCTTACTAACCCTATATGTTGGTTTCATGCTTTCGGGAGATAAGCTATGGATGAATAGATTAATATTGAGCATGACTTAGTGGGTTATGAGGTTGAGTCCGAAGTTGTCCAAAGAATTAAGGGAAATTGCCTATCTTCCGAATGGCAGAATGATATACCAAAAAATTCAAGCTTGACAATAAGGTAAATGACATCTAAATGTTGCTATCCCACTAAAAGAAATTATCGGTAAAAGACCAGTCTTCCTTTATTGAAAAATATGGATAAATAACAATCCTAATAAAGATAGAGGTCTAAATGCCAGCTCTACAAAACCTAGTAGGATTTTAGGACTCGCATACCATTGCTTTACCTTCGACATTATAGATCTTACTCCCACAATTAAGGAATATCACACTCTACATGAGTGTTCGACTTCACCATACTTCATCTATTTATATCATCCAAGAGAAGAAACATTAGAAAATTACCAACAAATAATACAATTACTTGTAGAAAGGGTAAGATGATTGGATAAGGCTAGAGGAAATACCGAGAGGATAGTATTGGTATACACTTTAATCACGTTTTGAGGAGCACTTACACGATAAGGAAAATGACATCAAACTAAGGATACTAGCACTTGACATTTGTGGATTAGTCTTTCTTCTACTTCTCATGAAATGATTCACTACGAATCTATAAATGTGTTTTACGAGTAGATAAGGCCAATGTGAATCCCATAACTTCTATTTTAGCATAAACATTCTTATCTCTTAACTTTTTCATCCAAAAAGAATTGAAGTATTAAATGTTGTGTCTAATTTCTCTAAGTAAAAATTTTCAACATTCATAAGTTTAACATCATTACATTTATTATTTTAAAAATAATTATTTATTTAAAACTTAACCAAATCGTTAGAAACACACAAAGACGAGACATATGAGTCACCGATCACCGAAAGCGACATTTATATCCTTAACATTTACATCATTACCTACACCATAGAATGGATGT